AATCACTATGACTGATTTCCTCTTATTAATCGTTTAACCAGTTGGTTATATATTCAATATTTTTCTATTTGAGTATTTAATTGACGAAATCCGTTCTAAACTTATTAGAAACTGTATCCTGCTACTAAATGAAGTAGGAAGCAGAAATAATATTATACTGAGATGGGTCCCCGGGCATTCAAATATTGAAGGCAATGAGAATGCCGACCATCTGGCAAAGTTAGGGGCAAAAACCGTCCAACTGGGCCCCGAACCCTTCTGTGGTGTGCCTCGTTGCCTAAAACTGGGACATCTCAAATTAATAACCAAACGAGAAGCACTGAATCACTGGCAAGAAATGCCAGGATTAATACATTCAAAAGACCTTATATCGGGCTTCTCGACCAAATACTCCAATAGATTACTGCAATTGAGTAAAAACAACATATGCATGATGACTAGGGCCCTCACAGGACACTGCAAATTGAATAAGCATATGACTAAGCTAGGCCTATGCATGACAAGTATCTGCAGATTCTGCCAAACTGAAGAGGAAACGCCGCTTCACATCCTATGTGGTTGTAGCCCACTCATGCATAAACGAAATATCTCCTTTGGAAAGTTTACACTCTTCCCCGAGGAGATAAAAACGATCGCTCCTAAGAATATCCTTCAATTCTTGTCCCTGACGGGTCTAGGTAGCGAACTCTGAAAAGAGCGAGCACAATAGATCTATGTAGGTCGCAGTGCTACAGGTGCTACACATCAGACAATAGCCCAAACAATCCAATAAAAAAAAAAATTAATTGAATTAGTGCTAATTGGTAGTATATATTCACACACTTAAATTTAAAAATGTAAAGTAATAATAGAATTATTTAAAAGAACAACACGCAAGTTTCTTGCTCGTTCTTCTTGTGATGAGACAGCTTTCCGAATGAGCGGTAGATTAAAAAAATGTGATGACTATTCAAAAGTGCTTCAAGGTAAGCTTATTTGAATAAATGATTTTTTATTCTATTCGATAATAGAATAGAATAGAAAATTTATAATAAAATTATTCAAATATTCTATGTATTTTCTGTTTTATTTCTGTTAGAATCTATCTTTTAATATTACTTATTTCATGCTATACCTATACAATAAATAAATGCAGCGTCCACTTAATGTCAATTTGTCCTATTTTGGTAGGTTTTACATTATAAAAACTTCTACAGTAAAGATACCCATCTTACAACTTTTTTTAAATCGAGTTTTTCAGTTACGTATTCTAAAATTAGAAATTGCAATAAAAATTAGAATTTAAATTTTGAAATTAGAAATCAGAACCTGTTTAAAGAAAATATAACTAGAGTACTATAACTATATGAACCGTTGATATTAGTCGTCTTATGTACCTATCATATGTACAAAATTTCATCGAGCTTTATTAATTTTAGAAAAAACATCTAAATATATATAACTCAAAGGTGACTGACTGACATAGTTATCTATCAACGCACAGCCCAAACCACTGGACGGATCGGGCTGAAATTTGACATGCAGATAGATGTTATGACGTAGGCATCCGCTAAGAAAGGATTTTGATTAATTCTACCCCCAAGGGGATAAAATAGGGGATGACAGTTTGTATGAAACTTTGTCCATTTTAAACCTATCGGGCGGAGACTTTGCATGCATAAAGCTACTATGACGTAGGCATCCCCTAAGAAAGGATTTTGATAAATTCCACCCCTAAGGGGATAAATAAACGCGAGCGAAGCCGCGGGCAAAAGCTAGTTAAGTAATATGCTCTGTATTGAGAGGAGTCAGGGACATGCAGTCTTAAGACGCAGACAACTTTTTACAGTCTACAGTGAGACAAAAAAATAAAAATTTAATCAATTATGAATATACTATTTACCAAATGGGATAATCTCATCATTGCTTTGACCATTATTTGTGGTCGGCGCAGTATGTCATTCTCTTCCACTGCTCTCTATCGGCCGTCAGAAACAGTCATGCTCGCTATAAAGTTCTAACTTGTGGCGGCGTTGTGGGCAGGGTCGATGAGCTCCCTCTAATATGGCAATGATGGCTGGCTCATCCGTCATACTCGTGAACGAGTGCTGCTTGTGGGGACTGGTCTGTTCTGGTTACGAACACTGATTAGACCTTTTGCTTTTGCAATAGCATATGCTGATAGTCACTATATTACACCAAATTTGAATTTAAATGAATCTGTATTAGTAAACCTTTATTTGAAAAGAATACGAGCTGAGTTTCTTTTCAGTTCTTCTCATCTCGAAATCATTCCGAACTGACGGTAGTTTTGACATATCATAAGAGTCTATAATAGACCTACATGAATAAAGATATTTTGAATTTGAATTTGTCATATCTGAGCATAATCTGTTGAAAACATTACCTACGTCACAAGTGGATATATATGTATATATATATATATATATACAAATTATATGATATATCTTAAGATACAGACCATGATATAATCATAATTATGTCTAACATTACATTTTATCTAGACCTAAGTCGATACGCTTTGATTTTTGCCATTAACTAAAATGTTATTTATCATATTGCTGTTAGGAACACGTTAAATTTGATTGATTGAAACACGTTAAAATTAAGCTTATTTGCAATAAAACACATGTATTAACAATTAGTTATCGAGCAATCAGGGATATCACAAGATTAGCATTAAATTTAGTACCTACAACGCAATTGTTATTCTAAACAGATTAATTTTACGTTTAATTTCGTATGCATATCTGTAGAATTTTATGTGAAATGTATTTTATCTATGTATTATAAATTTATCACTGTATTAACATAGTTATGTACTTATTGTAGCAGGAAATTGATGTTAAATACAAATTTACAACTAGTTATCATAATAATGAATAATTCTTCCCCTAAAATTTTAAATGCTCACTAAAATTTTTAAGAAATCGATTAAATCCCATTACCTCTCCACTTAAATCTCCCTGTATTCCTTCTTGCTATGTGTCTTGTTTCTTTGCATATGACATTGTTGTTTTGTACTTGTATTTCTGTGTATTTATATATTTATATATGTATGTATATTTTGCTTGTAATTTTTGTAATTTTATATTTTTATATCTATGTATGTATATATTTTACATATAGTATATATAATGTTTGTTATTTTCTAATATTTATTGGTATTATTATCCTATCCCTATTATTACGTTTATATATATATTCTTCCATTCTATTCATGCGCCACCTACCACTTTTGTTGTATTTTCTCTACCTAAAGGTTGTCTGGAAGAGATTGCTTCTAGCGATAAGACCGCCTTTTGTACTTCCATATCTCTTTTCTTTATAATTCTTATGTATTAATTCTATTGGTGCAATAAAGAGTTTATAAATAAATAAATAAAATGTCCAGACCTGTAGCGGCGTGGTGGGCCGGGTCATTGGGCTCCCTAAAATATGGTCGAGCGCAGTGATGGCTGGCTCATCCGTCGTACTCGACATACAGCAAGACAGACACAAATACTCATTATGTTTATTTTTAATTATGGTAAATTAAGTTTAATTATATGTACATTTTATATGCTCTTTTTTTTCGTTTGTTGTTTATATTGTATTTTTTACATTGCACTGAATAAAATATTTTTCTTTCTTTCATTAATACAAATTTTTGCACCGCGTGAATCGAACCCATGTTTGCAATGTGTGGTGTTGTATCTATGTGGTTATTTACATTAAATCTGTGATAAATGTGACAATAAGATACGTAAGCGTAAAGAGAGAGCTTATCTCTGTATTCACGCTTACGTATCTTATCGTACGGACCTCTCTATTTACGTATTACAAATAGAAATATTTTTTATTCAAATAATAATAATAATAATATCTCAGGACAATTCACACAGCGCCATCTAGTCCCAAGCTAAGCAGAGCTTGTGTTATGGGTACTAGACAACTGATATAAATACATGGATACATTTTTTTTCGTAAATAAATACATATTATACATAGAAAACACCCAGACCGATACAAACAATCATACTCATGAATACAAATGTTTGTATCGGTCTGGGTGTTTTCTATGTATAATATGTATGTATTTACGAAAAAAAAAATATCTATGTATTTGTATCAGTTGTCTAGTACCCATAACACTAGCTCTTTAGCTAGCTTAACTTGGGTCTAGATGGCGCTGTGTGAATTGTCCTGAGATTATTATTATTATCATTGTGAAGAATTGTCAAGAAACTCAACAGGATTTATGTTATTATTATTATTTTTAGTCAGTTTATCATTACATAGTATAAAACAAAGTCGCTGACGCTGTCTGTGCCTATGTATGCTTAAATTTTAAAAACTTCGCAACGGATTTTGAAGCGATTTTTTTAATAGATAGAGTGATTCAAGAGGAAGGTTTATATGTATAATACATGTACACCCGTGCGAAGCCGGGGCAAGTAGATAGTTATTATATAATACTAATATGATATCTACTACCTCTGTAAATATTACAATTTTATGTTTCACCCGAGATCACCCAGAGAGAGAGATTTTTTTATGGATAATGGTACACCCGCCTGCGCTAACAGTATACGCTGGCGGGCACCAGTGGAGGATGATAAGATGAGCATGAGATCAGGTCAGTTAGCCCATCGTGAGAAATTCACCAAGAATTTATCACGATGGTTTCCAGGGGGAACCGCGTGGAGGTCAACCTGACATGGTACATTGCTAGCAATAAGATCATCAGTCCACATCACTAATAATCCCCTTAATATATATGACTTAAAGTTAATAAAGTTTATTATTAATTTGACAGTTACCACATTTCTGTCTGTCTGGATTTCTGAATCTGGATGATCGTAAGTATGTTTGTCACTGATAGTATTGTTGATTTTAATGAGGACATGAAATTATTAATGGAATTCCGACCACGAACTGTATCAAAACTAAGATGGCCACGTTATCAGTGTGATAGCACGATAACTGATAACATATTTGATATTATGATTATAACAGTCAGTACAGTGCGTGCTGTTCACGGCAGTAGATTAACAATGAGACCGGCAGAGATTTAGAAAATGGTGAGAGAAAATTATATATATTAATAATATATAAGTACAATATTTGTATATATTTATACATTTATATTTTTGTGTTCTATTATTATTTACATAACCTAATTGTACAACTAAGAACCTAAAATTAAAAAGCTTAAAAAATATAATGTGATGACTAAAATATATTATTAAAAGGGGTCCCTTTAGGCAACGTTCCGAAGATACTGGCAGCGTTCCCTCTTTGAATAGCTAGACTAATTCTTTGTCCGAGGTAGCTGCCAGCTCTTCGGTCTTCTGTGATGTCGACTAACCTTTTCGTTATTTCTTTGAAAAGTCTTATAGCGCTAGGACCCCACGGACCAAGGGTCTCGACACCGAATGGGACAAATTCATATTCGGAGTCTAGACCCCTATATTTACATGTTTTGGCTTTTTCAGCCGCTTCACATGCCGCACCAGCTCTGTTTCTGTATATATTTATGTAATATATTATTGTATCTCTTATGTATATATAATTTTTTTTGTACTGTTTATATTTTGTTGCATTTTGTTTACGTTTATCATTTTGCACCGCCAACAATAATTCTCTGCACCACTAATGGTTGACTGATAGAAAATGCCGCATGGTGTTAAGTCCGCCATATGTATTGTACTATATATATTGTATTGTGTGCATTGAAGTTAAATAAATAAATATTCTAAATGCGCCCGCGGTAAAAATTATTTTATAAAAAATATTTGTTTCTTTAAATAAAAAGTAACTTATGTCCATTCTGATGTGTCCAAGAACATGTGTAGGACATTTCATGAGGATCAGTTCAGTAGATTTTGTGTGAAAGTGTAACGAACGTCCCTACTTTCACATCTATACATATAAATAAAATTGGAGTGTCTGTTTGTAATATTGAAATAACCGTTTTTTACTACATGCATATGAATATAAATACGGTACATACACCAAAATAAGTTTTTTTACAATTTTTGTCTGTCTGTTTTTACAAGTTTAGCCGGAACAAACAGTTCCGGCTAAACTCTGAAATGGCTGGACCGATATCGACGGAATTTTTTTTGCCAGGTAGCTGATGTAATAAGGAGTAACTTAAGCTACTTGTATTGTGAAAAATTCTTTCATTTTAGAAAAATTAAATTCCACGCCGACGAAGTCACGTGTACAGCTAGTTTATAATATTAGTAAGGATATATATATACCTATATTATATGCATATACCTATATATTTAATGTTTAATTATGGAATGGTGCACCTGCCTGCACTAACAATTTACGCTGTCGGGGCTCCAGTGGAGGATGATAAGACGAACATAAGGGCAGGTCAGTTTTTCCATCGTGACAAATTCACCAGGAATTTATCACGATGGTTTCCGCGTGGATGGGAACCGCGTGGAGGTCAATCTGACATGGTACATTGTTAGCAATAAGAGCATATCCATTACTAACAATCCTCTTTCCCCTCAGTGTAGGCATATTATAAATACTTACGATAGATTATTTCTTTTTTATCAATAACAAAAGCTTTTGTGTTATTGTACTAAATTGAAATAAATAGGTACTTCTCTTATATATATAAAACTAGCTTTTGCCCGCGTCTTCGCTCGCGTAGTAGTAAGTATTATTATTAATTAGGTGTAGTTTTTGCGGCTTTACTTTTGTTTAGCGTGTGTAAATAATTAGGGCCTACAAAATCTAAGAAGATTTATACAAACTTTCATCCCCTATTTTATTCCCTTAGGGGTGGAATTTTTCAAAATCCTTTCATAGTGGATGCCTATGTCATTGTAGCTTTATGTATGCAAAGTTTGAGCCCGATCGGTTTAAAATTGACAAAGTTTCATACAAACTTTCACCCCCTATTTTACCGCCTTGGCGATAGAATAAATCGAAATCCTTTCTTAGCGGATGCCTACATCATAACATCTACCTGCATGCCAAATTTCAGCCCGATCCGTCCAGTGATTTGGGCTGTGCGTTTATAGATCACTATGTCAGTCAGTCACCTTTGAGTTATATATATTTAGATTCTCGTGTCACAATGTTATTTACCATACTCCTCCAAAACTCGACCGATTTTATGAAATTTTATATGCACATCCAGTAGGTCTGAGAATCGGCTACTATCTATTTTTCATACCCCTAAGTAATTAGGGTTGTCCATCCCTAATATTTTTTTTTATTTTTTGGACAAATTTTTTTGTTGTGTTTTTTATAATGTGGCTTTAATAAATACATAAACCCCTAAACATTCAGCCTTCTACCATAGACCTTTTAATAGTGATTTTGATGTACATATATGGCAAAATGTCTGTGGGGTCGTGGGAGTAGAAACTTATATTTTTGTATATACATACATAATATACATATAACAATGGCTAGACTAATTGTGAAGGATGGAGATCAAGATGACGAGCAAAAAGTAAAACGGCACCGTTGTAGTTGTAGAATATTTTTTGTATTAAATTGACTTATGTCATATAGAAAAAATATAATATTATAAAAAAACATAGATAATAAAAAAGGTATAAAAATAGTTTCCAACACTAATATAATTTATGCTAATCTTTGATTATATATTAATGTCCTTAATCCTAGTGAATATAAATAATACTCCACTTATCCTAGCATGCTAATAGGCAAAGTTGATGACGTTTACTTTACCTATTATCTTTCTATATAAGAAAGAAGAAGAAAGAAAGAAAAACTAGCTGTACCCGCAGCTTCGTCCGCGTGGATTTTAACTTGATTTTCTGAATGAATTATACCATGATGAATGACGAGCGTGCATGGCAATAGTTGTTCATGCACGGGATTTTCATTTAATGTTAGACATAGACACCTATATAAATATACATTGTAAATAAACTGGCTTTTAAAAAAAGTAATTCAATTGAGTTTCTTGCCAGTTCTTCTCAATTGGATCTATATACTGAACTGGACGGTAGGGAAACAATTAAAATTATAATGTTAAAATTTTGATTTTCATAATCGGATAAAATGTCCTACATGAATAAATGATTTTGAATTTGAATATACGAGTATATTTGCGCCGTATATATATATACTATCAGACCCGGCCACGCGTTGCTGTGGCCAATCTCTGGAATGGCTGGACCGATTTTGAAGGGGCTTTTATTGGCAGATAGCTGATGTAATAAGGAGGAACTTAGGCTACTTTTATTTTACAAAAATTAAATAAAATTCCACGCGGACGAAGTCGCGGACACAGCAGTTTATACCCCTCCGATCATCCCCAGTCCTCCCCTCCGTCCAATTCAAATGGGGATCGATATTACGACGGCCTGAGCCGAGGTTCGAACCCCTAGCGGTGCCATCAGACTAAAGTCGTATCCGTCAGGCGAGAGTTGGCCTTCAGCCGCTCCATAAGTCCTTCCTTGGTTTGGAGTGCCATCGCCCCCTATCCTCCGGTGAAGCTGTATAGGCTAGCTGCAGCTCCAAAAAAAAAAAGCGGTTTATAATTGTCACTATTTATGACTATTTTGTTGTTATTCTAAATGATACGAAACGATGAATATATTTTTGGATGCTTTTATTTAGACTTCTATCAAACAAGTGTATCAATACAGTTTACCGGATATTGATGTTCGGAAAAGTATCGAAATAGATGCGTTCAGAAATCACGATTCATAACAATAATATTAGTAAGGAATCAAATATCCTCACCGTTGCTTCTCAATACATTTATGAAAATATCATATATGCCAGAAGGAATATAGACAGTTTCAAAAGAGTTAGTGATTGCACTAATAAAAGCTTACGTAACAATAACAAACTGATTTTACCTAAATGTCGTTTGGCTAAAGTTAGTAATTCGTTTTATGGCAATTGCGTAAGGTTTTACAATAAAATACCAGAGTCCGTTATAAATGTGCCAGAAAAAAGATTTAAATGTCAAATAAAACAGTTCGTTTGCAAAAAAGCTTACTATAAAATTGAAGAATTCGTTAACGATAATAATGTTTTTATGGAAAAACTTTAAATCTATAGCACTGACAATATTATCTGATTACATTAATAATGAGTGCGTAGCGACTTCTATGTTGATTATCGCATGCCTCTTACTTGTTATACTGTAATTATTTATATAAAAAAAACACCTATTAAAAAGAGCAACACACAAGTTTCTTGCTCATTCATCTTGTGATGAATCTGCATTCCGAATGAGTGGTAGAATCAAAATATGACTATTCAAAAGTGCTTGTAATGAGTTTATTTGAATAAAGAATATTTCTATTTCTATTTCAAGAAAGGCAGTAAGGGTTAGTAAGATTCCATTTCGAGATTTATAAGAACACGCGTGGGAAATATGACGACTGAGGTAACCAGAGATAAGAGAATACGAGTGTTACAGCTGTAGGTATGAGTGAATAAGTTATACAGCAATCCCGTTATCAGAGATATACCGAAGGAATGTGTCGCTAACCAATCAAATCGATGTTACTATATATGATTAACTCTTTAATATATGACGTCACAGCAAACAATAATTAATTTTAAATTAATGAAGAATTTATTATTTTACTTCTCAAGGTATTTCCTGGAGATTAAAAGAAAAAAAGGTAATTACAGGTTTCTTTGGGGTTGGAAACGCACATTATAAAACTCTGGTAGAATCTATTATTTACCTCCCAAGGTACTAGAGATTACACGAAAAAAGGGTAATTTAAGGTCTCTTTGGGGTCGAAACGCAGATTATAAAACCACCAATTATAAAACCATCAAATCTACCGTCAGTTCGGAATGATTTCGAGATGAGAACTGACTATCGCACGTTTAGTTACAAACTGCATTAACTCGAAAATAACAAATTTTGAAAATGGACTTTAATTGTTTGTCTTAAGATCAAATTTCCTTTTTTTTTCGGTGGTTTGTATTCACACACTTAAACTTAAATTGTAAGTAAGAATAAATTATTTAAAAGAGCAACACGCAAGTTTCTTGCTTATTCTTCTTGTGATGAAACAGCTTTCCGAATGAGCGGTAGATTAAAAAAAATGTTATGACTATTCAAAAGTGCTTATATTAAGTTTATTTGAATAAAGATTATTTCTATGTGTAATATGTGAAACAATATTCTATTTATGTATGTTTGTGTGCTTGTCTTTTATATTATATATCCGGCCAATTACTCCAACTTTATGATACACATATCTAGGACAACTGTATACCTAAATTCTTGACATAAAGTAGGGTTACCAACACCAAATTAAAAAAAACTAGGATTTGAAGTTGGAAAACCAGGACAATTTAGTTTAAAACCAGAACTCAGTAATATACATGTTATAATTACATTATTATATAATATCAATAGGGTAAATTAATAAAATTCAAGTAATGATAATAATCAGTTTTTAATACTTAAAATTATTTAAAAAAAACTACTATAAGAGCAGGTATTATAAAAATGGCGCGTGAATTTTGAAAATACATGATCTTATCAGGGCGTTTTAAAACCTAGGACGTTGCTTAAAAGCTATCCAGGACACCACAGGACATTATAAAAACTAGGACATGCTCTGGGAAAACAGGACGGTTGGCATCTCTAAGATAAAGTGATGTTGGTAGAGATTATGAATTGTTTGAACGCGATATTAACTTTATTAACACTCTTACAGTCAAGGCACCATGTTTAACATGTTCTATAATTAACCTTCGTATTCGTAACTAGTAGCAGTTTGCGGTTCTGTTCGCGTCAAATTGAGGGAATGTTATTATATAGCTTTCATTTAATAGAAACTTCGAATAAGCTGACAGCTCAGATTAAATTTATTGATTTTAGAAATATGAAAGCATAGCGGTTTTTGTATTGATTGCCGCATGCATTCTTATGTAAAATGTGAATACTATAACTATCAGATGGCAATTGTAAGTAGCTTTGACGTGGTCTAGTGTTTTGAGTAGTCATGCTCACTAAAATGTCCAGACTTGTGGCGGCGTGGTGGGCCGGGTCATTGGGCTCCCTAAAATATGGTCGAGCGCAGTGATGGCTGGCTCATCCGTCATACTCGTGAACGGGTGCTGCTTGTGGGGACTGGTCTGCTCTAATCACTATGACTGATTTCCTCTTATTAATTGTTTAACCAGTTGGTTATATATTCAATATTTTTTCTATTTGAGTATTTAATTGAATTAGTGCTAGTTGGTGATTTGTATTCATACACTTAAACTTAAAAATGTAAAGTAATAATAAAATTATTTAAAAGAGCAACACGCAAGTTTCTTGCTCATTTTTCTTGTGATGAGACAGCTTTCCGAACGAGCGGTAGATTAAAAAAAAATGCAATGACTATTCAAAAGTGCTTCAATGTAAGTTTATTTGAATAAATGATTTTCTATTAAATAATAATAATAATAAAAATATCTTTATTGTCTAATAATAATAAATAAGTATCAACGGCGCCTATACATGTACTATACAAAATATATAATAATAAATAATCGTGGACAATTAACACCACGCCATCTAGTCCCACGGTAAGCAGAGCTTGTGTTATGGGTACTAGACAACTGATATAATTACTTAGATATTTTTATTTTGTAAATACATATAGTACATAATATATATACATTTGGTAATCAACGTCTATGTGACAGACTCGACCCATTGGCTTTGCGGCGAGATATTGCATCTCTCTGCATTTTCTACCGCATATATCACGGGGAGTGTTCTGAGGAATTGTTCGGATTAATACCAGCTGCTGAGTTTCACCACCGTACCACCCGCCAGAAACTGAAATACCATCCTGATCATCTGGATGAATGGCGGTCTTCCACAGTGCGGTTTTCTGGAAACTTTTTGCCTCGCACAACCACACTGTGGAATCACCTTCCAGCAATGGTATTTCCGAACCGATACAATATTGAAACCTTCAAGAAAAGAGCTTATTCATTTTTAAAAGGCCGACAACGTACTTGCAATTCCCCTGGTGTTGCTCATGGGCGGCGGTAATCACTTACCATCAGGTGAGCCGCATGCTCGTTTGTCCCCTGTGTTATAAAAAAAAACATACAAAACACCCAGACCGATACAAATAATTATACTCATAAATACAAATGTTTGCACCGTTAGTGGAATTAAACCCGCAACCATTGGAAGTAAAGTTCATCACTGAACCACTAGTCCAGCCATTGAGATGATGATGTCCTGAGATTACTTTATTTACAAAATACACATTTTACAACACAATATAGTAAAGAAAACAGAGTATGTAAAAGATAAGAAGCAAATACAGTATATATACCTTGACGTCTTTGGTGGTCTAGTGCTTTAGCACACTGACTTACTTCCGATAGTCGCAAATTCGATTCCTCGAACGACACAAACATTTGTATTCATGAGTATGATTGTTTGTATCGTTCTGGGTGTTCTCTATGTATAATATGTATTTACTAAAAACTATATATCTATGTATATGTATCAGTTATCTAGTTATGGGTATAACACAAGCTTTAGCTAGCTTAACTCGGGTCTACATATGTGGAGTGTGAATTGTTCTGAGTTTATTATTATTATACTTGGTGTATTTTTTTTCTCACCTTTTTTTGCTGGGTTCTTACGCTTTGTGGCGTATACCACACTTATTATTATTATACCTAAAAAGGTAAACAAAACATAAAAATATGCAAAATCACAACATTATTATATTTGAATTAAAAAGAAATATATTAATATATTTAAGTACGTATATATCTAAGTAGTAACTAGTAACTACTGCATTTAAAATATAATATATATGTATTTATTTCGTAATTTAGCATCCCCTCTATAGGAACACATAAAACAATTAAAACTTTCGCCGTATCAAATGGCGGCTGAAGTACTACTTAACATCATAATACAAAACAATGTGATAATAAACATAATAGGGAAGTAAAAAAAATAAATATAAAAAATACAGTATATATAAAATTTCATACAGACGTTCCTTTCTCCTTTCGTAATATGTGTAGCACTGTGATGAAAAAAGTACTCCCATATTTAGTACTTACTACGGGAGTACTTATAATTTGGTCATCATATTTGCAGGAGACAGAGAATATAATCATAGTGAGCGTGTTCGGCGGGGTGTGGCTGGTGCTGTTCATCATCAGCGTGGTGCTGTGCGTGCAGGTCTCCAGGCTGAAGAAAACCATCTCCGACATGCAGGCCACCGGCAGGATGCGAGTGCAGTAAGTAGATCCCATCTATCACCTTCACACGATACGATCAAAATAATTCATCAAAACAATTTACATAGAAAAATATATATATACTCAACGTGACCTGATGTCCCGTTTTAAATGAGACTGTCCCTTTTTATTATTACAAGCCCCCCGGTCCTTGGAATAAATTTTGGGACGCAAATTTGTCCCGTTTTCAAAATCCACGCGAAAGTTTTTAGTAGTCGAGCCGGACGGTTTTGAATTTGATAATTAAGGTGATATAAAAAAACGTGTGAAGAGTTTCATTCTTACTTAGAATCTTCACCAGCTGTGTTAAAGTAAAGTTATTTCTTCAAAAAATATAAATATAACTAAACAAAATGTTTAATAACTCATTTACTTTATTTGTTATTTACCTTTCTGAAAGCTAGTAGCTACCTCGAGCAAAGAATTAGTATAGCTATTCAAAGTGAGAACGCTGCCAGTATCTTCGAAACCTTGACTAAAGTGACTCCTTTTAATAATATATTTTAGTTATTATATTATATTTTTTAAGGTCTCTAGTTTAGGTTAATAATGTTAGTTAGTTATTTTGTAAAAATGTTTAGTTATATTTATATTTATCTGGTATATTTTTAAATTCGTAACGTTTTTTAAGATAGATAAAAGTGTTTTTATTGATTATCTAATAATTATATAAATAAACCAATGTCCCGTTTTACGTCAAAGAATAAACGTCAAAGATCAGGTACTACATACATTTTCTTCTTTATTTGCCGTCTCCTACCGGAGGTTGGCAGTCATCCTGGCGATCTCAATTTTGTCCACCGCTGTTCTGATTGGGATCTGGTGCTGATCCCGAACCACTGTCTTAAATTCTCTAGCCAAGATGTACGGAACCTGGATCTTTCCTTGAATTATTATTTGTAAAAAACTATATTTTTTCTTTCTCATTATATGTCCAAGGTATTGCGAGTTCCTACGCTTTTATTACAAATACATACATATATTATTAATAGTAATCAAATATCATTAGCAACACTGACATGTCCAAACCTTGTAATATAAAACAACGTACAAGCTTCTAAAAAAAACTACGTTACAAAATATAAGTCGCAGTGTCTCGAAAAATAGTCGGTCGCTCAGTTACTGTAATCTGCTTAATATAGCTCTGTCTTGGTCTTACTCTCTACTCTTTCCTTCTATTCTTCCTTCAATAATATTATTCATAAGTTCGTCGTATCGTCTCAAGTGCCCCAACATTTTTCTCCGTCTATTCTTAATATTTATGGTCTTTTCTATAATCCTTTGCAGACTTCTTCATTTCTTATTTTATCTTTCCAACTAATTCTTTCTATTCTCCAACACCACAATTGAAAAGTTTCCAGCTAGTCGCAAGTAAAATTACGAATACTCTTTGTGACAATTTTCAGAAGGTTAAAAATGAACAATGACAAGAACCACGCGTTCCACAACCCCGGCCTGGTGCCGGATGAAGAGTTATCGCGGCGAGGGTTCGCCATGTACTCTCCTGATGATGTGGAGGCCAGCAGAAACCCTCGGTCAGACCCGTACCGGTGAGACTTGTTCCATATCTACAAATATTACATAGACTTAATACAAAATCTACAAATGACCATACAGACAAACGTCACAAATGGATGGATTAGGATGGTAATCCTAATCATTTGAAAGAATGGTGTTTTCCCAGAAACTTTTGCCACGCACAACTACAGAATAAGAGCTATTTTCTTCTTAAAATGCTGACAATGCAGTTGCAATTCCCCTGGTGTTGCGGGTGCTCATGGGCGGCGGTAATCACTTACCATCAAGCGCTCGCTTCTTGATCGGTCAAATTTCTCCTTAATCTAGTGGTTTAGAATACTGTCTTACTTTCCGATGGTCACGGATTCGATTCCCTGCTCGGTACAAACATTTGTATTCCTGACTATGATTGTTTGTAAAGATCTGGTGTTTTCTTTGTAAAAATATATCAGTTGTCTAGTACCCAAAATATTTGCGTTGTGTGAATTATCCTGAAATATTATTGTTTTAAACTTGACGCGGTCATCATTTATACGAATAATTAGTAAAAATCACGGGATCTTACCACGTTTTATATTTATTTGCTGAGTTCCCGATATTTCGGTAGCGTTTCAACCACCATAATCACGGGTAAACTGTTTACCCGTGTAACTGTTCACCTCAATTCAAATAAATATAAAACGTGGTAAGATCCCGTGATTTTTACTAATTATACGTATATTATATATTAGGTACGATATAAGTGGAGGATGAGCCTCGTTTTTATCATTAAAACTAGATTATTGTCATCACTAAAAGACAGATAATAAAGTTTAGACTTATCTAACTAACTATATAGACTTAATTCAGACATGTATTGTATGACTCATATAATTATACAGCTACACCACTCACTCATGTAAGGAATGTATGACTAAGTTCCTGCCTGAATCGGATAATTGCTACAATAAAATCTACGCACAGATATGACGTAGAGTTTATTATGAAATCATCTGCTATGGCTATCTCATTTACTTCAGCCGACAAGCAGCTTGTTTGTAATATATATTCGACTAGCTGTGCCCGCGACTTCGTCCGCGTGGAATTGAAATTGAAATTGAATAGAAAAAAACTTTTTTTAGAACACAAAGTGTGTTCTAAAAAAAGTTTTTTTCTAAAAAAAAAGTCTCGTCAAAATCGGTTCAGCCATTTCAGAGATTAGTCGGAACAAACAGACAGACAAAAATTGTTATTTTGATGTATGTACCGTATTTATATTCATATGAATGTAGTAAACGGTTATTTCAATATTACAAACAGACACTCCAGTTTTATTTATATGTATAGATTACAAGGTGATATTAGGCAGTGAAATTACAGGGTACGGCTGCATTGTATCACCAGCAACTGAACACTGTTTGGGTAAAAACAATATATGCATCATGACTAAGGCTCTCTTTCTATTCTATTCTATTGGACACTGCAAGCTGAGCACATGACGAAATTAGGCCTTACCTTCACATCAATCTGCAGATTTTGCCAAGCAGAAGAGGAAACGCCACTACATATCCTATGTGGCTGTAGCCCACTCATGCATAAACGAAACATCTCCTTTGGAAAGTTTACATTCTATCGTGAGGAGATAAAAACCATCGCTCCGAAGAATATCCTTCTTCTTGTCCCTCACGGGTCTAGCGAACTTTGAATAAGGGCGAGCACAATATGTAGATCTATACAGATCGCAGTGTTATAAGTCTTAGCACCTGACCCCCCAATATAGGGGGGAAAGGTGATTGTTAGCAATGTGGATTTATGACCCCATTGCTAGCAATGTACCATGTCAGGTTGACCTCCACGCGGTTCCCCCTGGAAACCATACTGATAAATTCCTAGTAAATTTGTCACAATGGGCTAACTGACCTGACCTCATGTTCATCTTATCATCCTCCACTGGTGACCCGCCAGAGTAAACCGTTAGCGCAGGCGGGTGCACCATTCCATTGTAAACCACAAAAAAAAACCCCCCAATATAAAAAAATAGCACACTGTTTTACTTCAATGCTAACTCACAATAAAATAACTTATTTAGGAGTGGGGCACCCTTATCATGGAGGGGTATGAGAGATGGATGTTGGCCGATTCTCAGACCTACTCGATATGCACTCAAAATTTTATAAATATCAGTAAAGCCGTTTCGGTGAAGTTTGTTACCAAACCCGCGACACGAAAATTTTATATATCGACGACCTCGGTGGTCTAGCGGTCTAGTGCACCGCTTTACGACCGATGGTTGCGGGTTCGATTCCTCGCACGGCACAAAAATTTCTGTTCATGAGTTGATTGTTTGTATCGGTCTGGGTGTTTTCTATGTATAATATGTATGTATTTACAAAAAAAAAATATATCTATGTATATATGTATCAGTTGTCTAGTACCCATAACACAAGCTTTAGATAGCTTAACTTGGGTCTAGATGGCGCTGTGTGAATTGTCCTGAGATTATTATTATTATTATTATATATTAGAGTAGTAAAATTATTATCATTAAATTATGGAATGAACTACCTGCCGAGGCTTGCTCTATAGACTACAGCATGGGGTTTTTCAAAAAGATACATTAAGGTTTCTCAAGGGTCGACATCGAGCACGCAACGCCCGTGGTGTCTCAGGCGTCTATAGGTTACGGTAACAGTTTACCATTATATGGGCCTTCGACTTATTTACCACCATCGTAGTATAAAAAAAAATTTACACAAAGTTAAATAAATATTAGCACTATAGTACAATGGTGATAACAGTACAAAACAAATCTTTATCCGCTTGAGATAATGTCTTTGATAAACAAGATTAGTGGATGTCGTTGAAAGGATGTGCGTTGTTCAAGACTACATTACATACATTCTACATATATGTATATTATGTATGTTCTTACAAAAAAACAAGCTCTTCTTAGCGTGGGATTAGATGACGCTAAATTATCCAAAGATATTACTATCACAATTGCTATAGTTCCAGTTCCATAAAAAATATACACGTAACAATCTAGGCAGTGATCTAGGACCACTCCTCACCTCTATTCCAATTATTAATTTTACGATCATCTGTAGATGCTTAGGGATAAAATACAACAACAGTAGTACAAGAGAAAGAATACTCGGCTCTATCTCCAATTCAATTAAGGTTTACATTTGCGAGCATATTTTTATTTTTTATTCTTTCAGACAGACGGACGGGCGCTTCGTAGAAGAGCTGTCGCGAGAACTGGATTCTAGACAGAGGCAGTCGACCGCTCCACCCTTCTTGTTGCAGAGCATAGAGGACAATAAGAGGAAGAGCATGAACTACACTTTGTCTGACGGGCGACAAAGCCAAACCAACCCTAACTTCATATACTGAAGGCACAAAATAATCTCGCAAACATATGGCGTGGACGCGACGCCATAAGTTTGAGAGACAATGTCTTGTTAACGTCAGACAATATTTGGGAAGCACTGAGTGAAAATACATTGAAATCTTTTTCACCAATTTTCGTAAGAAAATCGCTGTAAAAGTTTATCAGTTAGTTTTTATTTATTTATAAGGATTTAATTATAATTGTATTTAATATGAGATAAGTAAACTTAATATAATTTCTAAGGTCCTAAAACGTTTTTATTTTTGTTATAAATAGAAAACTAGTCTTATTGTAATGACTTCTTATTCTAAATAGACTGAAAGCAAAAGTTTTTCGATTCCATTATGATATTTTGGTACCGTACAACAAAATTTTAGTTGCACATATTAAGTCTGTTTAATACAAGAAATCATCGCAATCATTTTACATAATCAAGCCCTTAATCGTAACAAATTAGTCTTTAAAAACTCGCACGTAAGATCTAAATTACATTTAATTACTGAAATAAATATTGCATTAAATACTCAATCTCCAGATAGTCATCATATCTTATCAATTTCCATCAATAAATAACTAATAACATTTTATAATCTACAATTCTAATGAAGTACTTATCATTTGTATTTACAAAAACTTTAAGTAATAATAATTTAGTCAGTTTCCTCAATGTCATATATTTGAGGCTTAATTGTTAAACCCAGTTGCTAACAATTCAAATTTTAAACTTATTAAAACCTCCAGCTAATTATTCCTGGTTGATATAAATCTACTAATTTCTAGCCAACTTGCAATATGTTACTACCCTAAATCCTACTCCTATTTTTATCCACCAAATCTGGGGGTAGCATCAACAAAATAAGTCGTTCGTTGTACGTCGCGTCGAGCACACGCAAATCAACATATTCTCCACGAATCAACGTTAACGGAACCATCAGCCGCGATCTTCACGCAATCATCTGATTAGTACATCATCCAGTGAAAATCATCGTATTGTTGTGCGTTTTTAAAGTGAAACGGCTACGCGTATAATAAGACCTGCACGCGGGGACGACACGAACCAGGTTGGTCCTTAGTTTCCCTTTTTTACCCAACAATTCCAAAATCCAGTTACTGATAATTCTCATTTTAAACTTATTAATTTCCAGTTAACGCGTGGTGGACCATACAATGTTACAGATGGAATTGGAAACTGTGTAATAATTTCATAAAAAATTACAAAGCTATCGATTTTAGACACTATAGAGTACTCATTGTTAGCAACTGCTATACATACTGGAAATGGCTACGCTATATGAGTATTGCGATCTCTGTCTCAAATAGATAAATATGAATCAGTAGTTGACAATTCTATGTTTTATCTTTCTAACATAGGGTCGAGTGCGTCTTATGTAATTTGTTGTCCTCTTCCTACATCTGCCAGAGGTGCACCGCGGTTTTTTCAATTCATTACTCTGTATATATCTTGGATTAGTCTTCACTTTATTCTTTGGGCGCGGATAATTCAAATAATTCACTTCTTCCTCTTCATCGTTGATTTTAGTTTTAGATTTGTTACTTTCATGCGCATCTAATATGTCCTGAATACTTTTATACGCCTGAGTTTCTTCCGCATTACCGCCGTAAGTCAAAAACGGCTTAAAACCTCCAGTGCTTTTTGGTAAATCCACATTTTTAACCTTATCGTATTGCTCAACATGTTTCAAATAGTCGTATGCATCTGGGTCGGTTTCTTGGCTGATTGGTTTGAAATCGCTATAGCTCACAAAGTTTAAAGTGGACTGGGGTAATTGTGCTGGCTGCTCGTAATCTAACAGCTGTTTTTGGAATATCTTCGCGTAACGATCTGCGAAATTCTCCATGTCAGTATTGTAGACGTAATCATCGTTATAGTTAGCGTCGAGTAGTCTCTCCTTCTTTTCAGAGGCTAGAGCCTTCTTCTGTGTACTACCTCTGTAAGAGATGCTGGGCGGCAGGGATGCACCGTAGATATGTTTGTCAGAAGTTTTGCCGTAGATCTGATCGAAAATTTTATAATCATCCGCCCAAAATTTGGTAATACCTGAAATAAGTAGAAACAATGTTTGATTAATTAGGTTAAATGTATTAGTGATCTTTTTGATGTATCTATGCTTAATATTATAATTACAAAATTATGTTTGTTTCTTAGCGACTACCCTATTTATTTTCAACTAAACAGCTTTAAATATATTTTGTATCATTGGAATATTAGACGACCGAATTGGTCTAGCGGTTTAGCATTCCGCCTTACTTGCGATGGTCGCGGGTTCAATTCCTTGCTCTATACAAACATTTGTATTCATGAGTACAATTGTTTGTATCTGGGTGTTATGCATGTATTAATGAAAAGATTATATATATAACTAGCTGTTCCCGCGACTTCGTCCGCGTGTAATTTAACATTATTTTTCTAAAATAAAAGTAGCCTAAGTTACTCCTTATTACATCAGCTACCTGCCAAAAAAAGTCCCGTCAAAATCGGTACAGCCATTTCAGAGATTAGCCGGAACAAACAGACAGCCACAAGCCACAGCAGACAAAAATTAGAAAAAAAAAATATTTTGGTGTATGTACCCTATTTATATTCATATGCATGTAGTAAAAGACGATTATTTCAATATTACAAACAGACACTCCAATTTTATTTATATGTATAGATTATTTGCATCAGTTGTTTAGCTCTGCACAGCTTGGGACTAGATGGCGCTGTACGAATTGTCCAGAATTATTCTTATTCCACGAAGTCTCGTATAGTCAGCTACTGAATAACATAGTAGAAATAATTCGACATAAACAAACAAAGTTGTGCAACTCCATAAGTAAGGTACTTAAAATGTGTTGCAAAACATATTACCACTTTCCTTTGTTTAATGTGGCTGTATAACGTTGATTGCTTTTACCACTTTTACAAAGTATGACTTCACCAGTTTCGTTTTTGGCGAGTAAGCGTGAGTATTGAACGATTACGTGTAGTTAGGTTTGACAACTTGTCTTGCCAAAAAAACGTCTAAACTGGTTTGGATAAGAAAAAAATAAAATATTCGAAAAAAAAGTAAAAAACGTACCTATATACTGGTTTGAATAGGAAAAAATGAAGTTTTAGGAAATAAAATGTATTTTTTTCAATTCATGTTTTTATTGCTTTAAAAACGTATTTTTGTGTGCTTTTAACACTAGAACTGTAGTGTCTAGTAGAGGACAAATGTCCACAATCACACAATTGACATCTAACATTTCGTTCAGTAATTGTAAATCGTTTCCATGATCCGTTTTAAAGATTTTATTCTAAATCGTGTAAAAATAATGAGTATTTTGTTTTACGCATTACAGTAAAGGTAGAAAATAAAGTATTTTTGCATACTTTATTTGTATGATAAAGTATAATTACGAGAAATAAAGTAGGATACGTTATTATACTATATAGTTGGCAACCCTACGTGTAGGTCACTGTTGCATCATACATACAAATACGCAGTACCTATAGTGAGTATAAATATTTGAGTAGAGGAAAGTAATAACTGGAGTAAATTAAAAACAAAAAAATCATATTCTAATTCTTACTTAATATTATAAATGCGGAAGTAAATATCAGTTGCACTTTCACGCGAAACTAAGCCGATTTAAATGAAATTGGGCACAGAGATAGTTTAGACCAGTGATTCCCAAAGTGGTCTATATCGACTCCCAGGGATCTACGACAAACTGCCTACGACAGCGGTCATCTTAACTAGGGATAGAATTTTACAAAAAATTAATACCAGGTAAGAATCGGGGGTCCCAAAATCGAAAAATATGGAAAGGGTACGACACAAAAAAGTTTGGGAACCTATGCTCTAGACCCTGAAAAAGGACATAGGGTACCACAAAAAAAATGGTTGTAAGGTTGTATGGAAGCATCGTCATTTTTAATGTTGGAAACTTATTATTAACGGCATATTTATTTATATTTAATCTGTTGATTAATTTATCTATACTGTCCTCTCCTCATATCCTAGGATAAATAAATATATAAATAAATATGACGTTCCAGGTTTGTACAAATTTTACTTTAAAAAAAAACAATATAACAATCACAACGACTAATTTAATCTTATTGTGTATTTATATTTGACCCTAATAAATTAGTGCCAGTTAGTAGTTTGTATTCACACGTTTCGAATTGAAAAATGTAAACTTACAAGGATTATTTAAAAGAGCAACACACAAGTTTCTTGCTCGTTCTTCTTGTGATGGAATAGCTTTCCGAATGAGCGGTAGATTAAAATGTATGTCTATCAAAAGTGCTTAAATTAAGTCTATTTAAATAAAGGATTTTCTATTCTATTCTATTCAGCACAGTTTGTAACTAGATGGCGCTGTAACATATTTCGGCCTTTTTTTCTTTATCATTCTTCTGTGGTGAGTCTGCGTTCTGAATGAATGGTAGAATAAAAAAAACTATTCAAAAGTGCTAATATTAAGTTATTTGAATAAACATTATTTCTATTTCTGATCTATATTCATGTGATTATACAAATACGCTTATTCTATTACTAGAGATGAAACGGATAGCAGTTTGGCCGGATATCGGATACCGGATATTCAGCCAACCATGTGACCGAATAGCCGGATATCCGGCGGAACTTATCTAACTAATAAATTCGTTTTCTTACTATAACAGTCATTTACTATTGAGTGATTAAAAATTTTAAACTAAAACTAATTTTATTCCTTAAGTAATACTGAGCTCAGTATTACTTAAAAAAATATATTTTATCCAGATTTTTAGATAGAAGGAAAGAGGGGGAGAGGAAGACCAAGGCACAGCTACATCAAACAAATTAAAGACAGAATTGGAGTCGTGTCGTATCAAGGCTTAAAGAGTATGATGGAAGATCGTGAAAAGTGGCAAGAGCTCCACCGACAAGAGCATTGCTCTTAAATTTATGAATGAATGAAGTAGTTATCCGGTATTCGGCAGGATAGTATAAAGGCCGGCGGATAAGCCGGATACCGGATAGTTACCGGATATCCGTTTCATCTCTATCTATTACTGTCCTATCAGGATTAAGTAGATCGTAGGTGGGTACTTAATTATCGGAAAGGAAAATCGCGAAACTAGATATGAAAGTGGACTAGTTCGCACCTATATTATGGAAAAATCTGTAGCAATATAAACTCACAGCTTAGAAATTAAACGTTCACGTAGAAATGTGGTTTTAACTCTTTAAGGTTTAGTTTATTAAATAAGTTTCCTTCCGCTTTTCTTTTTTTTTATATGTGTTAGAATCTTATAAATAACTAGCTGTCCTCGCGACTTCGTCCGCCTGGACTTCGTACGCGTCGCGTAACTTTACTTATCTAAAATAAAAATAGCCTAAGTTACTCCTTATTACATCGACTACGGGCCAAAAAAAGTCCCGTCAAAATCGGTTCAGCCATTTCGGAGATTAGTCGGAACAAACAGACCGACATACAGACAGACAAAACTTATAAAAAATGTTATTTTGGTGTATGTACGATACATACACCAAAGTAACATTTTTTATAAGTTATTTATATTCATATGCATGTAGTAAAAAACGGTTATTTCAATATTACAAACAGACACTCCAGTTTTTAGGTATTTATATGTATAGATGTATAGATAATAGACCTTTAGGCCTTTAGACGTGTGACGGATTGTCGTGGCCAGTATTAAAAAGCTTTAAAGTTACAAATAAAAATATATTAGCAACGTACCAGATTGTTTTGTAACTCCACCGCCACCGTACACACCCATCAGGAAACACACCACCGTCACCGAAATCTGAAATAAAAACAGCCGCATCATCATCAGGAAGTCGAACTCGTAACCCGCGGGTTGCGAACAAATAGTAACATTATGTAATGCTAACTGCAACCGCGACTTCGTCCGCGTGAAATTTAACTTTATTTTCTAAAATAAAAATAGCCTAAGTTACTCCTTATTACATCAGCTATCTGCCAATAAAAGTCTTGTCAAAATCGGTCCAGCCATTTCAGAGATTAGCTGGAACGTTACATCAGCTACTTGCCAAAAAAAGTCCCGTCAAAATCCGTCCAGCCATTTCAGATATTAGCCGAAACAAACAGACAGACAGACAAAAATTGTAAAAAATGTTATTTTGGTGCATGTACCGTGTTTATATTCATATGCATGTAGTAAAAAACGGTTATTTCAATATTACAAACAGATTTACAGATTTACAGACAATTTTATTTATATAGATGTGAAAGTAGGAACGTTCGTTACACTTTCACGCAAAATCTACTGAACTGAACTGAATCTACTATATTTATATTCATATACTTGTAGCAAAAAACGGTTATTTCAATATTACAAACAGACACTCCAATTTTATTTATATGAATATTGCTAGATATTATAATAAATAATATCTAGAAATATTTAGACATTTTATTTGATTGTTAAATAGAATGACCTATAGCACAAGCTCTACATAGATTGGGACTAGCCGCTGTGTGAATTTTCCTGAGATATTATTATTTTATTTTAAACGAATAAACAACCTACAATTTCCTTAATATCAAACGGAGCCTTGACATACTAAAACAAAAATATTATATATATTTGATATTTAAATTCAAATTCAGAAATCATTTTAGCCGCTTATGAACGTAATTTCTTTTACGTTATAATTTTAATTTTTTTCCCCACCGTCCAGTATGGTATATATAATATATCTAATTGAGAAGAACAGGCAAGAAACTCAACAAATAGAATGAGGCGAGATTCGAACCCCTAAAGATGAAATCAAACTAAAGTCGTATCCGTAAGATAGATGTTGGCAATCTGCATTCGTTCCGCAAGTCTGCAGTATGCAAAATTAAAACTGTTAAGGGCGAGTGCATAGGACGCACTCGCCCTATTTTTTTTTATGGGTGATATTCCTTACTAATATTATAAATGTGGATTGATACACATGTTCTAGAACAGGACACTTTATTTAAAAAAAAAAGTCTGCGCTAACGGTATACGCTGGCGGGGCACCAGTGGAGGATGATAAGATGAACATGAAGTCAGTAAATATATAAATGTCAGTTAGCCCATCGTGACAAATTCACCATAAAAATATCACGATGGTTTCAAATATTATTAATTATTAATAATAATAATTCAGGGGGAACTTGTGTTATGGAGTCAACCGACAACTGATACAAATACATATATACTTTTTTTTTAATGCATACATAATATATTTAGAAAACACAGACCGATACAAACAATCATACTCATGAATACAAATGTTTGCGCCGTGCGAGGAATCGAATCCACAACTGGAGGTCAACCTGACATGGTACATTGCTAGTAATGGGGTCATGAGTACACATTACTAATAATCCCCACCCTGCCCATGAATAATATTATAATTTCGAAAATCGGTCCTATCTGTTTGTTTGTAACCATTTTGCATCCCCCATATCACAGGGTTGTTGGTAATAGGGACAGTTAACTAATTTCTAATGATATACCAGATCGACATCCCAATGAATTCGCCACGATGAATAACTGTCCTGACTTCATGCTCATCCTATCATCCTCCACCGGTGCCCCACCCGTTTTCCCATGTAATACCCAGCGTTTTCCGCTGGAACCTAAGTGGTCCCGAACAGTGCGGTTTCAGAGGAGCTTCTTCCCGCGTACACTTAGATTGTGGAATGAACTTCCCGCCGAAGTTTTCCCACGAAACTACAGCATGGGGTTTTTCAAGAAGGGTATATTAAGGTTTCTTTAGGGTCGGCAACGCGCATGTGATACCACTGGTGTTTCAGGCGTTCATAGGCTACGGTAACCATTTACCATCAGATGGGCCGTATGCTTGATTGCCATCATCTTAGTATAAAATATATATATATATAATAAAAAATATATATATCGAAATTACGACGGCCTGAGCCGAGGTTCGAACTCCTAGTGGTGGCCTCAGACTAAAGTCGTATCCGTCAGGCGGGAGTTGCCCTTCAGCCACTCCATAAGTCCTTCCTTTGGTTTGGAGTGCCATCTGCACTCGCCCCCTATCGTCCGGTGTAGCTGTAAAGGCCAGCTGCGGCCAACAGCATTAGGGTAGGCCGAAAAAAAATAATTAAAAGTAAATCTACTTTTAATTACTTTTAATTTTTAAAATTTTTAAAGGTTAGGAGAATTTTTCTAAAATATATATAGCCAAGTTACTCTTTATTACATCAGTTACCTGCCAAAAACAGTCCCGTCAAAATCGGTCTAGCCATTTCAGAGATTAACCGGAACAAACGGAGAGACAATGTTATTTTAGTGTAAAAATATTCATGCAGTAAAAAACTTTCAATATTACAAACAGACACTCCAATTTTATTTATATGTATAGATGTATAGATTATGTCTTTTATAAAAAATGATTCCTACCTTTTGATGTACGACCATGTTGTTACTGTAGTTACACTTGCACCATTTCACTTCCACTCAAACGACTTACACTGCCGATACGATGAAAGTAAGAAGAGTGATACGAGACATCCTATTATAAGCTCGCCAGTGTACAAGACATGATCGCAAGTGTAGGGGACAGCGGGCGGACTCGATTACAAGTGCGGCCGCCTTGCTACGACGAATATTATTTATAATTGAAATTAAACTTCATTTTTCTAAAATAAAAGTAACCTAAGTTACTCCTTATTACATCAGCTATCTGCCAATAAAAGTCTTGTCAAAATAGGTCCAGCCATTTCAGAGATTAGCTGGAACAAACAGACAGACAGGCAGACAGACAAAAATTGTAAAAAGTATTATTTTGGTGTATGTACCGTATTTATATTCATATGCATGTAAACAAAGGTTATTTCAATATTACAAACAGGCACTCCAGACTTATGTACCAAAATAAATCAGTCATAGTTATCAGAGCAAGCAGCTCCTTCAAGCAGAACCCGTTTACGAGTATGACGAGATGAAAAAGGGAGAGCTGGGCATATATTTTCCGTGATTTTTCATTGATGCTCCGCTCCCTTCGATAGTGGCGTGTTCTTATTCGCCGTAGAACAAAGGAGAGTAATCTCTCAAAAGGCATATATTTTCCGTGATTTTTTGTTGATACTCCACTCCCTTTGATATGGGCGTGTTTATAATCGTCGTAGAACAAAGGAGAGTAATCTCTCAAAAGGCATATATTTTCCGTGATTTTTTGTTGATACTCCACTCCCTTTGATATGGGCGTGTTTATAATCGTCGTAGAACAAAGGAGAGTAATCTCTCAAAAGGCATATATTTTCCGTGATTTTTCAATGATACTCCACTCCCTTTGATATGGGCGTGTTTATAATCGTCGTAGAACAAAAGAGAGTAGGCTCTCAGAAGGCATATATTTTCATTAATGCTCCGCTCCCTTCGATAGTGGCGTGTTCATATTCGTCGTAGATAGACCGCACCGATCATTCACAGGCCGGCCGGGCTCCGTCTGAAGCGAAAGCCAAGTTCAAACTCCTAGCAACAGGTCCTACACCCGCCCTGTACTACTAAACATAATTACTAGTATCTACAACACTTGATCTCATATCGACTTTTTATAATTTATTTATATGCACTCCTTAAGAGGCTTGTTGAATAATTAAAAAAACTTTTACGTACTAACGGATATGTTATTGGCACGAGTCTAACTTTTACTTGAAAGTACTTTTTTTATAGCAAGGGATAAACAAGCTTGGGGCTCACCTGATGGTAAGTGATTACCGCCGTCCATTAGCACCCGCAACATCCTCGGAACGGTGAGGTCGCTCCGTGAAGCCTGTGAAGACACCAGGACTCTTCTGCGCTTTTGGGAGGAGCTTGGCTGGCTACTTTAGTAGTTTGGCTCTACACGCACAACGGCCCGAATTTTGCGGAGACTGGAGTCCAACATACAATACAATAGCACCCGCAACATCAGAGGAATTGCAATTGAGAAGGAATAAGCTCTTTTCTTGAAGTTTTCGTTATCGTATCAGTTGATTCGGTGATTCCACAATGTAGTTGTACGTAGCAAAAAGTTTCTGATAAAACGCATGGTGGAGGATCACAATCTATCGAGATGATCAGGATGGTATTTTAGTTTCTGGCGGGTAGTGCGATGCTGAAATTCAGCAGCTGGTATTAATCCGAACAATTCCTCAGAGCACTCTCCGTAATATATGCGGTAGAAAATGCACAAAGAAAGAATTATAGATTTGTACAGATGATAAATATCAAAGTAAAATACAGACGATCACGACTGATTTCCCGGAAGGGGTAGTCAGAATAATTGTCTTTTTTTTATTACTAACTGCGCTAACGGTTTACGCTGGCGTGGCACCAGTAGACGATGATAAGATGAGCATGAGGTCAGGTCAGTTAGCCCATCGTGGTAAATTCACCAGGAATTTATCATGATGGTTTTCGGGATCGCTTTATTTTTCGGACTACTCTAATGCTGTTGGCCGCAGCTGGCCTTTACAGCTTCACCGGACGTTATGGGGCGAGTGCAGATGGCACTCCAAACCTGCGGAAGGTCTTATGGAGCGGCGGAAGGCCAACTCCTGCCTGACGGATACGACTTTAGTTTGAGGGCACTTCTAGGGGTACGAACCTCGGCTCAGGCCGTCGTAATATCTATCCCCGTTTGAATTGGATGGGGGATCGATCAGAGGGGGTCGGGAATCGCATGGAAGTCAACCTGACATGTTACATTGCTTCAACAAATTTCTTCACCCCGCAGTGTGATTTTTTTAAAGGATAATAATGAAATAGTATTCGTCCCTGCGCTAACGGTATACGCTGGCGGGGCACCAGTGGAGGTTGATAGGATGATCTTAAAGAAACTGGGCTAGGCAATCGTGCTTAATTCACCTGGAATTAATCACGATGGTTTCCAGGGTGACCGCGTGGAGGTCAACCGATTGAAATTGATTTTAGAATAAAAGGTATAATCCATCACATTTAAAATTAATAGGATTCCTGTTGCTAAGTACTTAACAGTTACATATAACGTACAACTGTGATGATAACCAGATTAAGGTATATTTGCTGTTATATATCCACTGATTATATCTATCTGATAGAGTGTTAACATGATAAATTGTTATAAATGGGATAACTATTACCCATTACTAAAACTCCCTTCCTTCTCCGTCGTGTGAATTGTCCTGGCTTTTTATTATCATAATTATCATAGCTCAGAAGCAAGAGAAATATTTAATACTATCTGTACACACGACCTCGTCCGCGTGGAATTTAAATTGCTTTTTCCGTAATAAAAGAATTTCTCTAAAATACAAGTAGACTAAGTTACTCCTTATTACATCAGCTACCTGCCAAAAAAAGTACCGTCAAAATCCGTCTAGCCATTTAAGAGATTAGCCGGAACAAACAGACAGACAGACAAAAATTGTAAAATATATTATTTTATTGCATGTACCGTATAGAGATTAGCCGGAACAGGCAGTCAGACAAAAATTGTAAAAAATGTTATTTTGGTGTATGTACCGTATTTACATTCATATGCATGTAGTAAAAAACGGTTATTTCAATATTACAAACAGACGCTCCAGTTTTATTTACATGTATAGATGTATAGATTAAATATTCAATTCTATTGGGCAGTACAGCAAACCCAATATATATATATAATATTAGTAGATATTGAATTATAATTAGGTTCGTAGATAGGGCATCAATAAAAGAGGAAAGTAAAATATTATATCACAATTATATATTTCACGATGAAGTCTAAATTTACAGTCCTTACTTTCTATTGGTCTAACGATGACAAGGAATGTACAATTTTCAAATTTATATTTTCTTTATATAAACTAAAGAGTTATTAACAAATGCTATCCACGGCTATTAACTCTTAAGTATTCAAGATTTTTTTATATAACGCTAAAAAAATAGCAATCACGATGGTAACGGAGAGAAACTGCAGCAAAAGCGGATGTACCCATGTTGTTCCGTTTCACTCTCGACTTCTCAAATACACGATTGCTTCAATTACTCCCCAGCAGGTAATTGAAAAATGTCCACGTTACGTTTCCTGCATAACAAACTCATTACACGACTATACTAAATTATAGTTACATTTAGATAATGCCTACCTCACATACAGAGGCGTAGTTAGGTAACCTAGGGCCCTGTGGCAAGTCAAGAAATGGGGCCTTACATTACAGTTTTATTAAAACGCACATATCGCTATCCGTCAAATTGACAACACTGTCAACCCACAGGAAGAATTTAGGGTAATTCCGATGGTATACCTTTCAATTTTTTCACAACTGTGTTGCCATGATTAAAGTCGGGTTGCAAGCTGTCATATTTATTTTGAAAATGGGAGAAATTTTGAAAAATTCTGTTTGATCGAGATTTTCTGGTAAGGTTTCGAGGACCCTCTGAGCTTGAGAGCGCCGGGGCACTACCCCTAGAGACGCCGGTATCTACGCCACTACTCATATAGTGTTTCCAACAAAATATCGCGCATACGCAATATGGATAAATAACATTATGAATGCGAAAGTTAAAGTCCGGACTACCTTTTCTAAATAAAAAAATGTTGTAGCATGTAACCTCAATAGTAGGTTAGGTTTTTTTTAGATCATAATGAAATGGTGTACCTACCTGTGCTAACGGTTTAAGCTGGCGTGGCACCAGTGAAGGATGATAAGATGAATACGAGGTCAGGTCAATTAGCCCATCGTGACAAATTCACTAGAAATCACGATGGTTTCCAGGGGGAACCGAGTGAATGCCAACCTGATATGGTACTTTGTTAGCAATAAGATCATCAGTCCATATCACTAACAAATCCCATTTCCCCCCTCATTGACGTAGGATAGGAGTTTTACCAGAATTCACGCGGGCAGAGCCCCAAATCAACATGACATATATTACGTGTACAATTATAATCAATAGGTTTAAATAATATTAATTTAAAAGCAACTGACTTTTGGCGCTTAGGCAGATGCTGCCATTATGCATAATCATCCTAAAAAAATAAAAAAGGGAGGTAAAAACTATAGAAGTTTTTTGTTTAATTAAAATATTGTTAATAAATTGAAAATACGTATCATTTTGTATTTATTTATTTGCTTTAAATAGGTTACATTATTCTTATAAATACATAGTTCCTTATTAAAGTACTTATTAATTAAATGACACATCGGTAAAACATTAATCATAAGTCATCAAAATATGGCACAGAGTAGAAAACTACAAAAAAATACACATGTTGCCGATTTTGGTACATTGGACATTGTTTTAATTATTAATAGACAATACATTAATTCCAAATAAATCAAAATTTAGTATTTCAGACTACTAAATAGTGCTTAGAATTAGTAATCTATGGATTATTTAAATTATTAACCGGGTCTTAACACGAATAATTTTATGGCAAATAAAGGTATTTACCTCTCTCGATGTTTCGACTAGTTTGCACTAGCCGTGGTCACGAGCTGACTGGAGCACTTTATATTAACACGAAAATTAAAAAATAACAGTAATCTATGGAATTAAAAAAAGTATAAGAAATATGTCGATCGGTGTTGGATATATACTCATTATTAATAACATATATTTAGGCATATAAAATGAGAAACTTAATAAATAAAAGACCATCAGCCTCTCAGAAAATGTTGTATCCTTGTTTATTCCACTTTATACATAAAAAAATACAAAATCATGCTTCCACTGAGCAAGTTTTTTTGTTGACTACTCTAATGCTGTTGGCCGCAGCTGGCCTTTACAGCTTCACCGGATCTTAGGGGGCGAGTGCAGATGGCACTCCAAACCCGCGGAAGGTCTTATAGAGCGGCTGAAGGCCAGCTCCTGCCTGACGGATATGACTTTAGTTCGAACCTCGGCTCAGGCTGTCGTCATTTCGATCCCCGTTTGAATTGGACGGGGGATCGATCGGAGGGGTAACTGAGCCAAGTATGGTACAATAAATGTAAATATAATAGTAATAATAAAACATAAATATAAAACTGTTACCCATCCTGCGGGACCATTTACGTAAAAAATACTATATCTAACAAATTGTCAAACCAATTTATCATCTGTAGAAACTAAACTTCAGATATTTACTAATTACTAACTTTACAATTACTAAGCTCTTGTCTTTCAAGCAAGATTCTAATTTAATATTTAAAATGTAAACTTGACTTATCGTATTGTATAATTTATAAGAATAAATAGTGTTGTCATACCATCTATCGACATTATATGCGATGTATGTTCGTATCAGGGATGTTAGGGAGCTTCGTAACCGTAACCGAATATCGGATAGGGACGGAGCCTAATTGAGATACATTATGTAACCATCTTATTAGCCATTTTGGATTATACTGGAATGTGTCTGGATATGTTGGAATTACTCTTAAATAAATTCAAAACATCTGTTAAATCATATTTACTGAGCAAAGCCTATTACTCACTAAACGATTACTTGAATGACGAGTGTGCATGGCAATAGTTGTTCATGCACTGAATTTTCATTTAATGTTAGACATAGACACCTATATAAAAATACATTGTAAATAAAATAGCCTATAAAAAAAAAAGTAATTCAATTGAGTTTCTTGCCAGTTCTTCTCAATTGGATCTATATACCGAACTGGACGGTAGGGAAAAAATAAAATAATAATGTAAAAATTTGACGTTCATAAGCGGCTAAAATGTCCTACATGAATAAATGATTTTTGAATTTTGAATACTTTTGGAATTCTTTAAAAAATTAATACACGTAACCGAAATTATCCGAAACTAACGGATAATCCGAAATAATTTCATATCCATATCCGTATCCGGTAAAATAATCATTCCTATATCCGAAACCTATCCGTATCCGATATTTCATATCCATAACATCCCTAGTTCGTATATAACAATAACCATAATAATTTCAAAACTACACTAGAAATTGAGTGATATAAAACTCCTTATTATATTGCCATATATTTATATATGTGTATATAAAAAGAGATACATACTACTAAGTATAACATAAGACTAGTTAGGCTCCATATCATAAAATTTAAGCTAACCAGTAGCCTATTTTGCATCATGACTTATAATTTGCACATTCACATGCGAGATACCATTTGCATCGCTAGTATCTATATCAATTTTCAGTTCCCCGAAAGCGGTTTCTTGTTCCTTCAATGCCATCATTTCCTCCGGCTTCAGTAACGAAATCCCCGACGTTGTTTGTTTGTTCATCAAATTCTTTATCCATTTCTGATTCTGTATTCGCTGATCTTTCTGCTTATTATCTATGGTCACTAATTCTTTATTCAACTCTTTTATATCTTCTACGTTCTTCAATATTGCCTTCTCCTTATCTTTCTCTGCTTCGACCTTCTTCGGTTTCTTCTGGTATGTGTTGCTTTCGAACTGGCCATCGTCAGTTTCGTATGCACGATTCAACTTCTCTATATCCGTCCATGCAGCAGTTGAGACAACCGAGCAGGTCGCCGAAGATGAACGGTCGTCCAGTGTTCGTTTGCTCCGTATACTGGCCACTTCATCATCGACTTCAGCTTCATTGTCCTCCTTGTAGAACTGCAGGTCCTCGTACCCGAATGGAAACTCGCACTCCGTGTTCTCACACATGAGCATCTTCTCATTGAAGTTTATGAAGAACAACTTGATTCCAGATTGACACAATGGACATAACTGGAATGAAAAAGCAATAACTTAATACTACTTTACACAACAAATTATAATCTTGACATTTCAGATAGCCAAAATTTGTTAAAGCAGATTAATGTACATATGTAATATACATGTGGAATTATATAGGTTGATGCGTGAAATGGAACGGTGTGTGAATGAAACAGAGAGATGTGTGAGTGAGACAAGTAAATAGGAAAAGAAAAAGATATGTGTGATAAAGAGAAAAAGCAAGTGAGAGAAACAAACGAATAATGAGATCAGTGCGAGAGAGAGAAAACATGCTGGAAAAAACAAAGAAATAAAATAAAAACAATAGAATACAAAGTAATATATGGAAGATTATAGAACCATGCAATGATTATTAAAAGATACTTCAAAACAAATTTTTGTATTAGATACGGAAGTTTACAGAACGTGCAGATTATTTGCTCCCACTAAATCATATATACACAGATACATAAAGTAATAGAAACTATACAAACATAAATGTTTGTATAGTGCAGTATTCTAAACCACGACCATCAGAAAGTAAGTTAGTTACGCTCGCTATACTCCTTATTGCATTAAACCATCACCATTCAATTAGCCATTATAAACATATCAAAAGTAAACATACTTTCAGACCTTTATCAATTAGTGTCGCGTTTTCGGATATGTGTAACGGTGGTGCCTGGAATTCGAAATATTACAACATAAATACTAAATACTAACACATCCATGCTAATAACAAAACACTAGCCGTTACCTGCGACCTCGTTTGCTTCTATATAAAAGATAGCATACAACACTATTCGCATTAAAATGTCTCTACAGCTCAGGGCAAAACAAAAATAAAGTCACACGTTTAGTGCTTCCCTAAGACCCCTCCCAATTTTTAGGTTGGCTTTGGGAATGTAATGAAAAAAATGAACAAACTCTAAATATAGCACTGGATCCGAAGTTAGATTAAGCTGTACATATTGTGCCTCGTAGCCCGTTTTAATCGTGTGGAAAAATATCGGCCCCCACCAGAGCCACACACTCTTGATAATAAGAGGGAGTGTGGTGTTCTTATCCAATAGCTTAGGATTACTTAGTACTCTTACCCAAGAACTCCGGGGTAGTCTGGAGGTCTTAGGTGAGTGCGAATGACGCATTACATTTACAAGATTTGAATTATTAGCTAATTAATTGCTCATAGTGATATCATCCAAAATCTAAATAACTAAACTAACTACAGATAGACAAAGTTATAAAATAAGTAATACATACACCTAAAGTCTCCTCGGTCATTGTAGGAGTTTCATTACCATCCCGTGGTGGTGTCTGCAAGAAACGAGATTAAATGTTTATTCACACTAATGAATAATAATAATCTAGGATTGGAAGCAGAAGCGTAGGTAGACCAGCTGCCAAATCGTCGGACGACATCAAGAAGACAGCAGGGCCAACCTGGTCCAGTCATGCAGCAGAAATAAAAATGTAGACATCCAGCAAACGATAATGTATGCTGAAGAATCTGCAAATTTTGCCAAGTTGAAGTGGAAACGCCACAACACATTCTGTGCGGTTGTATCCCACTCATGCATAAACTAAAATATTCTCTTTGGAAGGACACAATTTATATATTGTCAAAATGTCAAATTAACAAATTACTGATTTAAATAAGTTGATTTGGATATTATATAGATAAAAACCATTACTGCTATGAATATCCTTCAATTCTTGTCCTTGACGGGTGTAGGTAGTGATTAGTAATTGACAGTGAAATTACAAGTTAAGAGGCATTGCATTGTATTCTTCGGGAATGACAGCACATGGGAGAGTAGCTAGTAGTACCTAGGAGCAGCACAGGTGCTAAGACCTGTAGCACTGCAACCTGCATAGATCTATCATGCTCACCCATTTTCAAAGCTCACTATCTAGACCCGTCAGGGACAGGGAAGAATTGTAGGATATTTAGGAGCGATGGTTTTTATCTCATGATTGATTAATACTTTCCAAAGATATTTCATTTATGCATGTGTGGGCTACAACCACATAGGTTGTGTAGCTTGGCAAAATCTGCAGATATTTCAGCATATAGTAGCTCACTGCTGGACATGTAGCTGTTATAGTTTTCCAGATTCTTCGGTCTACTGCATAACTGGTCCATATTTATGGATGATAATGGTATGGTGCCGCCTGCGCTAACAGTTTACGCTGGCGGGGCACCAGTGGAGGATGCTCAGATGAACATGAAGTCAGGTCAGTTAGCCCATCGTGACATATTTACCAGAAATTTATCACAATGGTTTCCAGGGGGAACCGCATGGAGGTCAACCTGACATGGTACATTGCTAGTAATGGGGTCCACATTACTAACAATACCCTTGCCCCCTGGTTTGGCCTGGGTTACAACCACATAGGATATGTTATGGAATTTCCTCTTCTGCTTGGAAAAAATACAGATTACAAAGCAAACATTTTGATGGCTGAAATATACAGAGCTATCCAGACAACTTGGTACAAAGTATAAAAGTTTAAGATAAAAATGACTACATACCATTCCACCATCTTCTTCTTCTACAGTAGCATTATCAGGAATACCCAGCAAAGACTCCAACTAAAACAATGTATAACAAAAACATTAATATTACATTGTAACGCAATGTAAATAAATAATTAGTAAGTTGTGAGGACAACATACTGACAATTTTTCTAAAATACTGTTTAATATTATTCACAGACCTGAATAAACTTTATTTCTTGTAAAGAAAGTAGGCAAGCCTACCTCCATGTGGTTTCCTCTGGAAATATTTGCTTTGCTATATATTCCTTGTGATTTTGTCAGGATGGACTAACTGACCTGATCTCTGCCCCGCCGTATATAGGCGTATACCGTTAGCGCATTCGAGTACACCATTCCAATACCATCCATTAAAAAATTATAAAAATCATTCAATTTTGTACTAAAATTTCTAAAGTTCTCACATGAGCCTGTACTAAATATCGCGTGTTAATAATAAGATAAAAAAATAAATATTAACTTCTTTATTTACGAATAATTATTTATGTAATTAAAAGTTACCAATAAATATAAAATACATACGGTTATATTGTCGTCCATTATTGTATCATTTTCTGTGCCTTCAGTGGAATTTGCCTGCAAATATATTATAAATAGAATTAAATGTTTATCGCAATGAAATATTATTAAAATCCACAGCATTAAAATAAATAAATTAAACATATACTTACTATAGGAACGAAAGGATCTGTATTATCCATTGCTTTCTTATTTTCCATGTCAATTTCAAAAACTTAATTTTATTACCGAATTTAACAACTGCTTACAACCAATTAAAATAACGATGGGAATCAAAACGTACCGGCCATTTTCTTCAATTTTCGGCTTCAATTTTCCAGAACTTCGATTTTATTTTGTTTTGTTTTTAACAGAAAGGCAAAGGGAACTGTATTCATACAGCCATGCCTGCTCAATCGTTCCAATTTTTTAAGTTTATTTTAAGTCGTATAGTTGGGATGATTTTTAGTACAAAGATTACCTGAATATCAAGATCGTGAACGTCTGACTGTCAAGGGTCAAACAAACAGTGCAGTGGAAAATTCTATAATGAGATCTCGTTATAAAGTATTCTTTCCCTTTCGTACAGCTCAAAAACTAAATTGGGATTACAGATTTATCAATTGTTATTTATACTAACTTACATTTAATTATGTAATGTATACGTATATTATATACATAATAAATAATAACAAAATTACTTATTAGTCCTACTAAAATGAGCCATCTATTTACCTGTCTGTACATGTCACTTGTACAGATTAGTAAATGTCACTTATATTATTTTTATAAATTTCATCTGTCTGTCTACTTCTGCTAAATGGCTATACCGATTTTGACGGGACTTTTTCTCCTATGACAATTAGTAACTTAGTCTACTTGCTGATTTTAGAAATTTTATTTATCTTACTAAAAAGAAACTTTTATCTTTGTCACAGTTAACAGTTATCACTAAATATTAGTGATACTCTGTTTATTAAAGGTTTTCTATAACTCTCTTCAAATCCACTTTCACAGCTTTAATATTAGTGACATGTACATATGTTATGTAAAAATATAAAACAAACACATCTTATATACTTTATATTCAATAAAAAAACAAAAAAGATCTAAACAAAGAATAGATTACACCCAAAATGCATACTTATACTAGAATTTAAAAAAATGAGTTTATTCAGACACAATTCCAAACATTAAGTATATAACTCAGTTAACATACAATATTGCATAAAAAAATAAAAAACAAATCTAAATATCTAATTAACAAACAATGGATTATATCAACTATATTCTTATATACTAATTTAAAGGCACATTTTGCAATTTCAAAAGTAGTTCTTACTCAGCAATGTCAAGCAATGGCAATCCATTAAAATTAATTTACATAATAACACTTAAATTCATTTTTGTAAATAATGTTGAGTATATATTATTTTTCAGAAATTTGCTAAGCATTGTTTGTAAATAATGTTGAGTATAAATTATTTTTCAGAAATTTGCTAAACATAGTAAATAATGTTGAGTATAAATTATACCTATAAAGTTTGCTCAACATTGATTAGTAAGGACCTATTGACAGATATGAGGTTTTAACGGGGGCACATAGCATGACGTCCACCATCCACTGGCACGCTAGCACCAGTGATATTGCTTGCAAGGTCACTAGCCAAGAACGCTATTGTAGCAGCAACCTCATCCGGTTTCCCTGGACGTCCTAATGCATGTGTTTCCTTGGTCCTCTCCAAAAACGCACGGTACTGGTCATCGGACAAACCTCCGCGTTTCTGTAACTCAGTCAGAATCACACCTGGATTAACAGCATTCACTCTGACGCCTTTTAGCGCCAACTCCAGCGCTACACACCTTGTGAATTGATCGACTGATGCTTTAGACACATTGTATGCTAGAACACCAGGGAACGATCTAATTCCATTAACACTTGATACATTAACAATGTTACCTTTAGTTTTAATAAGATGAGGAACTGCTAACATTGTTAAATAATAAATTGAGCGTACATTTGTATTCATAAGTCTGTCATACTGAGCTAGAGACGTATTCTCTATGCTTCCAGTCTCTAAAATTCCCGCGTTATTCACTAATACATCTAGTTGTCCATAATGATCAACAGTACTATTTATTATGTTTTCGATGTCTTTTTCTTTTCAATTGTAAAAGTAATTCAATTGAGTTTCTTACCAGTTCGTCTCAATTGGATCTATATACCGAACTGGACGGTAGGGAAAAATAAAATAATAATGTAAAAATTTGACGTTCATAAGCGGCTAAAATGTCCTACATGAATAAATGATTTTTGAATTTTGAATACTTTTGGAATTCTTTAAAAAATTAATACACGTAACCGAAATTATCCGAAACTAACGGATAATCCGAAATAATTTCATATCCATATCCGTATCCGGTATAACAATCATTCCTATATCCGAAACCTATCCGTATCCGATATTTCATATCCATAACATCCCTAGTTCGTATATAACAATAACCATAATAATTTCAAAACTACACTAGAAATTGAGTGATATAAAACTCCTTATTATATTGCCATATATTTATATATGTGTATATAAAAAGAGATACATACTACTAAGTATAACATAAGACTAGTTAGGCTCCATATCATAAAATTTAAGCTAACCAGTAGCCTATTTTGCATCATGACTTATAATTTGCACATTCACATGCGAGATACCATTTGCATCGCTAGTATCTATATCAATTTTCAGTTTTTCTTGTTCCTTCAATGCCATCATTTCCTCCGGCTTCAGTAACGAAATCCCCGACGTTGTTTGTTTGTTCATCAAATTCTTTATCCATTTCTGATTCTGTATTCGCTGATCTTTCTGCTTATTATCTATGGTCACTAATTCTTTATTCAACTCTTTTATATCTTCTACGTTCTTCAATATTGCCTTCTCCTTATCTTTCTCTGCTTCGACCTTCTTCGGTTTCTTCTGGTATGTGTTGCTTTCGAACTGGCCATCGTCAGTTTCGTATGCTCGATATCAACTTCTATATATCCGTCCATGCAGCAGTAGAGACAACCGAGCAGGTCGCCGAAGATGAACGGTCGTCCAGTGTTCGTTTGCTCCGTATACTGGCCACTTCATCATCGACTTCAGCTTCATTGTCCTCCTTGTAGAACTGCAGGTCCTCGTACCCGAATGGAAACTCGCACTCCGTGTTCTCACACATGAGCATCTTCTCATTGAAGTTTATGAAGAACAACTTGATTCCAGATTGACACAATGGACATAACTGGAATGAAAAAGCAATAACTTAATACTACTTTACACAATAAATTATAATCTTGACATTTCAGATAGCCAAAATTTGTTAAAGCAGATTAATGTACATATGTAATATACATGTGGAATTAGATAGGTTGATGCGTGAAATGGAACGGTGTGTGAATGAAACAGAGAGATGTGTGAGTGACACAAGTAAATAGGAAAAGAAAAAGATATGTGTGATAGAGAGAAAAAGCAAGTGAGAGAAACAAACGAATAATGAGATCAGTGCGAGAGATAGAAAACATGCTGGAAAAAACAAAGAAGTAAAACGAAAAACAATAGAATACAAACTAATATTTGGAAGATTATAGAACCATGCAATGATTATTAAAAGATACTTCAAAACAAATATTTGTATTAGATTTGGAAGTTTACAGAACATGCAGATTATTTGCTCCCACTAAATCATATAAACACAGATACATAAAGTAATAGAAACTATACAAACATAAATGTTTGTATAGTGCAGTATTCTAAACCACGACCATCAGAAAGTAAGTTAGTTACGCTCGCTATACTCCTTATTGCATTAAACCATCACCATTCAATTAGCCATTATAAACATATCAAAAGTAAACATACTTTCAGACCTTTATCAATTAGTGTCGCGTTTTCGGATATGTGTAACGGTGGTGCCTGGAATTCGAAATATTACAACATAAATACTAAATACTGACACATACATGCTAATAACAAAACACTAGCCGTTACCTGCGACCTCGTTTGCTTCTATATAAAAGATAGCATACAACACTATTCGCATTAAAATGTCTCTACAGCTCAGGGCAAAATAAAAATATCGTCACACGGTAAGTCCCTCCCTAAGACCCCTCCCAATTTATAGGGGGACTTTGGGAATATAATGAAAAAAATGAACAAACTCTAAATATAGCACTGGATCCGAAGTTAGATTAAGCTGTACATATTGTGCCTCGTAGCCCGTTTTAATCGTGTGGAAAAATATCGGCCCCCGCCAGAGCTATTGGGTATCGAGTTATTGGATAAAAATCCCACACACTCTTGGTAATAAGAGGGAGTGTGGTGTTCTTATCCAATAGCTTAGGATACTTAGTACTCTTACCCAAAAACTCCGGGGTAGTCTCGAGGTCTTAGGTGAGTGCGAATGACGCATTACATTTACAAAATTTGAATTATTAGCTAATTAATTGCTCATAGTGAGATCATCTAAAATCTAAACAACTAAACTAACTACAGATAGACGATAAAGTTACAAAATAAGTAATACATACTCCTAAAGTCTCCTCGGTCATTGTAGGAGTTTCATTACCATCCCGTGGTGGTGTCTGCAAGAAATGAGATTAAATGTTTATTCACACTAATGAATAATAATAATCTAGGATTGGAAGCAGAAGCGTAGGTAGACCAGCTGCCAAATCGTCGGACGACATCAAGAAGACAGCAGGGCCAACCTGGTCCAGTCATGCAGCAGAAATAAAAATGTAGACATCCAGCAAACGATAATGTATGCTGAAGAATCTGCAAATTTTGCCAAGTTGAAGTGGAAACGCCACAACACATTCTGTGCGGTTGTAGCCCACTCATGCATAAACTAAATATTCTCTTTGGAAGGTATATACTCAAACCTGAGGAGATAAAAACCTGTAGGCTACCAACCTCCTTGCATTAACTAGCCATATAACACAAAAACACATTTAATAAAAAGTATATTGTCAAAATGTCAAATTAATTCGCTTGCAAATTACTGATTTAAATAATTTGTTAAATTAATTATTATTTGTTATTTTTAATTCTGATATTATATACACCGTCATATATTCAATCTTTTATTAATATCACTCCTTCTGTATATCAACACACCAACCATAACCACAAACCATTACTGCTATGAATATCCTTCAATTCTTGTCCTTGACGGGTATAGGTAGATTAGTATATTGATTAATTGACAGTGAAATTACAAGTTAAGAGGCATTGCATTGTATTCTTCGGAAATGATAGCACATGGGAGAGTAGCTAGTAGTACCTAGGAGCAACACAGGTGCTAAGACCTATAGGACTGCAACCTGCATAGATCTATTATGACACACACATCACCCATTTTCAAATCTCGCTACCTAGACCCGTCAGGGACAAGAATTGTGGGATATTTAGGAGCGATGGTTTTTATCTCATGATTGATTAATACTTTCCAAAGATATTTCATTTATGCATGTGTGGGCTACAACCACATAGGTTGTGTAGCTTGGCAAAATCTGCAGATATTTCAGCGTATAGTAGCTCACTCTGCTGGACATATAGCTGTTATAGCTTTCCAGATTCTTCGATCTACTGCATAACTGGTCCATATTTATGGATGATAATGGAATGGTGCTCCCGCCTGTGCTAACGGTTTACGCTGGCGGGGCACCAGTGGAGGATGATAAGATGAGCATGAAGTCAGGTCAGTTAGCCCATTGTGACAAATGCACCAAGAATTTATCACGATGGTTTCCAGGGGGAACCGCATGGAGGTCAACCTGACATGGTACATTGCTAGTAATGGGGTAATACTAACAATACCCTTGCCCCCTGGTTTAGCCTGGGTTACAACCACATAGGATATGTTATGGAATTTCCTCTTCTGCTTGGAAAAAATACAGATTACAAAGCAAACATTTTGATGGCTGAAATATACAGAGCTATCCAGACAACTTGGTACAAAGTATAAAAGTTTAAGATAAAAATGACTACATACCATTCCACCATCTTCTTCTTCTACAGTAGCATTATCAGGAATACCCAGCAAAGACTCCAACTAAAACAATGTATAACAAAAACATTAATATTACATTGTAACGCAATGTAAATAAATAATTAGTAAGTTGTGAGGACAACATACTGACAATTTTTCTAAAATACTGTTTAATATTATTCACAGACCTGAATAAACTTTATTTCTTGTAAAGAAAGTAGGCAAGCTCCATGTGGTTTCCTCTGGAAATTATTGCTTTGCTATATATTCCTTGTGATTTTGTCAGGATGGACTAACTGACCTGATCTCTGCCCCGCCGTATATAAGCGTATACCGTTAGCGCATTCAAGTACAACATTCCAATACCATCCATTAAAAAATTATAAAAATCATTCCATTTTGTACTAAAATTTCTAAAGTTCTCACATGAGCCTGTACTAAATATCGCGTGTTAATAATAAGATAAAAAAATAAATATTAACTTCTTTATTTACGAATAGTTATTTATGTAATTAAAAGTTACCAATAAATATAAAATACATACGGTTATATTGTCGTCCATTATTGTATCATTTTCTGTGCCTTCAGTGGAATTTGCCTGCAAATATATTATAAATAGAATTAAATGTTTATCGCAATAAAATATTATTAAAATCCACAGCATTAAAATAAATAAATTAAACATATACTTACTATAGGAACGAAAGGATCTGTATTATCCATTGCTTTCTTATTTTCCATGTCAATTTCGAAACTTAATTTTATTACCGAATTTAACAACTGCTTACAACCAATTAAAATAACGATGGGAATCAAAATGTACCGGCCATTTTCTTCAATCTTCGGCTTCAATTTTCAATTTTCCAGAACTTCGATTTTATTTTGTTTTGTTTTTAACAGAAAGGCAAAGGGATCTGTATCCATACAGCCATGCCTGCATGATTTTCAATCGTTCCAATTTTTTAAGTTAATTTTATGTCGTATAGTTGGGATGATTTTTAGTACAAAGGTTACCTGAATATCAAGATCGTGAACGTCTGACTGTCAAGGGTCAAACAAACAGTGCAGTGGAAAATTCTATAATGAGATCTCGTTATAAAGTATTCTTTCCCTTTCGTACAGCTCAAAAACTAAATTGGGATTACAGATTTATCCATTGTTATTTATACTAACTTACATTTAATTATGTAATGTATACGTATATTATATACATAATAAATAATAACAAAATTACTTATTAGTCCTACCAAGATTACATAATATTACATAGTCCTACTAAAATGAGACATCTATTTACCTGTAAACAGGTAAATAGATGAAGATAATCTGTACATGTCACTTGTACAGATTAGTAAATGTCACTTATATTATTTTTATAAATTTCATCTGTCTGTCTACTTTTGCTAAATGGCTATACCGATTTTGACGGGACTTTTTCTCCTATGACAATTAGTAACTTAGTCTACTTGCTGATTTTAGAAATTTTATTTATCTTACTAAAAAGAAACTTTTATCTTTGTCACAGTTAACAGTTATCACTAAATATTCGTGATACTCTGTTTATTAAAGGTTTTCTATAACTCTCTTCAAATCCACTTTCACAGCTTTAATATTAGTGACATGTACATATGTTATGTAAAAATATAAAACAAACACATCTTATATACTTTATATTCAATAAAAAAACAAAAAAGATCTAAACAAAGAATAGATTACACCGAAAATGCATACTTATACTAGAATTTAAAAAAATGAGTTTATTCAGACACAATTCCAAACATTAAGTATATAACTCAGTTAACATACAATATTGCATAAAAAAATAAAAAACAAATCTAAATATCTAATTAACAAACAATGGATTATATCAACTATATTCTTATATACTAATTTAAAGGCACATTTTGCAATTAGTATTTGCAAAAGTAGTTCTTACTCATCAATGTCAAGCAATGGCATTAAAATTAATTTACATAATAACACTTAAATTCATTTTTGTAAATAATGTTGAGTATATATTATTTTTCAGAAATTTGCTAAGCATTGTTTGTAAATAATGTTGAGTATAAATTATTTTTCAGAAATTTGCTAAACTATAAAGTTTGCTCAACATTGATTAGTAAGGACCTATTGACAGATATGAGGTTTTAACGGGGGCACATAGCATGACGTCCACCATCCACTGGCACGCTAGCACCAGTGATATTGCTTGCAAGGTCACTAGCCAAGAACGCTATTGTAGCAGCAACCTCATCCGGTTTCCCTGGACGTCCTAATGCATGTGTTTCCTTGGTCCTCTCCAAAAACGCACGGTACTGGTCATCGGACAAACCTCCGCGTTTCTGTAACTCAGTCAGAATCACACCTGGATTAACAGCATTCACTCTGACGCCTTTTAGCGCCAACTCCAGCGCTACACACCTTGTGAATTGATCGACTGATGCTTTAGACACATTGTATGCTAGAACACCAGGGAACGATCTAATTCCATTAACACTTGATACATTAACAATGTTACCTTTAGTTTTAATAAGATGAGGAACTGCTAACATTGTTAAATAATAAATTGAGCGTACATTTGTATTCATAAGTCTGTCATACTGAGCTAGAGACGTATTCTCTATGCTTCCAGTCTCTAAAATTCCCGCGTTATTCACTAATACATCTAGTTGTCCATAATGATCAACAGTACTATTTATTATGTTTTCGATGTCTTTTTCTTTGGTCAGGTCTGCCGGAATTAAATGTATATTCGCTGTACTCCCACATTCTTTGCTGGTCCTCGACAAGTTGTCCACGTTTCTTCCTGTTAGAGACAATTTTGCGCCCAGTTTCGATAAAAATACGGCTGTGGCGGCTCCGATACCCGAGCTGGCGCCGGTGACTATAATTACTTTGCCAGCAAAATTCATTTTATTGTTTCTATTTGCTACCAAAAATACAGTTATACTCCGTATGTATATGAATTTGTTCTGTGCCTTAGATCAATCTCTCTGTAGTACGAAACTAGAACTAACTACAAGTTGTTTACTTTAACACTTTATAGAATTAACTTATTTTTAGAGGCCTTGACTCGATTTGAATTGTTATCAAATTCTTTTGCACTTGAAATGAACTTGACAGTTGACATCACTCGTGGTTAGTTTTTTTAATATTTTTGGATTCTAGCTTATAGTAGAGTACTATTCGGATATTAGTCTAAAATAGAATACGATCATTTATAACCATTCATGGTATCTTAATAGGCAATAGTCGCCTAATTTAACGTTTTTCCAAAACTCAACTAATTTTAGCATATTTTTGCTCACGTAATTAGCGCTATCACAAAAATTTATATGGCCACACTAACAATGTTTTCAAAGCCGTAATAAAAAAAAAATATTAAGTTTGATAATTTTGCTTTTCCATTCCATGATTCCTATCAATTACTGTTGAGTATATCTATCCCAACTGTACATTAAATTGTAAGTTTCTTATTATTTTTTTGGAAGGAGTTCTTTCGTCGATAGCGTAAAATGCCTGTAAAAGCAGTTTGCGTACTCAACGGAGATGTCAAGGGCACGGTGTTTTTCGATCAAAATGTAAGTACGCATATAAATATGTTCGTAAGTTAATAATTGTCAATTTGAACCGACCTTGCACAGACCTTGCCCTTACTTGATGATTAGACATTAATTATCATATTGCCAATTACACCTTATACCTACCTGCATAGGTTATGGAAAAATAGAATAATACTTCGACTCAAGAAGTTAAGTCGTAAAAAGACCGGCAACAAATGCAAATGCTTTTCTCATAGGTGGAACTGGTATACTTATAATTATAGGTATGGTATGATGATACTAAAAATGTTTTTTGTAATTATGTAAGTAATATCTGTATAAATAAGGGGTAGTACGGTTGCGGCCTTAGTGATTGCGAGGCTCTGGGCGGGAGGTTGTTGCTAGGCACTGATTGTTTAAAATTTGCTTGGGTTGTGACCCCGAATTGCACTCGTCCCCCCTAAGGCCCCCACTGTTGTATAATAATGGTTTATTACTCTGAATTGTACTGAGGTCTATATCCAGTTGACATAAAAAATCTTTCTGTGGTATGAATGCACCCAAATTATTCTTACAGGGGTAAGAATAATTTGGGTGGACCATCTTTTTGACATTACTAACAATCCCCTTTCCCCTGGAAACAATTTACTCCTGCAGCAATTTACCATGTCAGGTTGATGTCCATGTGATTCTCCCTGGAAACAACAGTCATAAATTCCTAGTGTATTTGTCATGTTTGGTTAACAGACCAGACTTCACGCTTATCTTATCATCCTCCACTGGTGGCTCGCCAGCATAAATCATTAGCATAGCAGGTGCATCATTTCATTATCTCCATACAATAAAAAACCACTCAAATTAGTCTTACGTCAGGCACCGCCTACTTCGCCCCACACACTGTTATGTTAATTAAAAATTCCCAGTGACCCGTCCCAAATGACCATTTCAAGAGAACAGAACCCCACAATTTGGAAAATAATACTACCCCCTCTGGTGTAGTTTTTTTTTGTTATAGACAATGTATGGTACACCCGCCTGTGCTAACGGTTTACGCTGGTGGGGCACCCGTGGAGGATGATAAGATGAGCGTGAAGTCAGGTCTGGTGAATTTCCGGTGAAATTCACCAGGATTTTATCACGATAGTTTCCAGAGGGAACCGCATGGAGGTCAACGTGACATAGTATATCGCTAGCAATGAGATCATCAATCCACATTACTAACAATTCCGTTCCCACCTCTGGTGTAGTTAGAAAGGTATATCATAATTATATTATTAAATGTGACTACCATTTTGTTTTCAGAGCGACCAAGCACCTGTAGTAGTTACAGGAGAAGTCAATGGCTTGAGCAAGGTAAGTTTACTATAAATGTTGCCATATTAAATATTAATAGCCTACTGTGTGGAAGACCAAAATCATTTACCTATATAGGATGCTTTCAGCCACTTATTTATACCTCTATACTCTATAAATATACTCTATATATACATATAAATAAAATTGGAGTGTCTGTTTGTAATATTGAAATAATCGTTTTTTTACTACATGCATAATCAATGCATATGAATATAAATACGGTACATCCAAAATAACATTTTTTACAATTTCTGTCTGTCTGTTTGTTCCGGCTAAACTCTGAAATGGCTGGACCGATTTTGACGGGACTTTAGCTGATGTAATAAAGAGTAACTTAGGCTATTTTAATTTTATATAAATTAATTATCACTTAATTGAATTGGCTATAATTTTTCTTGTCTACTAGTTAGGTATATTATTTATAGAATAGAATAGAATAGAATAGAAAATCATTTATTCAAATAAACTTACATTGAAGCACTTTTGAATAGTCATAACATTTATTTTTTTAATCTACCGCTCATTCGGAAAGCTGTCTCATCACAAGAAGAACGAGCAAGAAACTTGCGTGTTGCTCTTTTAAATAATTTATTCTTACTTACAATTTAAGTTTAAGTGTGTGAATAAATATTAATATTTCGATATTCGATAGATAATAAATATTTCGCAATGTCACAAGATAAGAAAGACTTTGAATAGGTATATTATGAAATTATAAATAAACTTCTGAATATACTCCTATTATTATTGGTAACTACTGATACATTTATCATGTGACTGATATTAAGTAAATGATCTATTTCATTATCTATACATATAAATAAAATTGGAGTGTCTGTTTGTAATATTGAAATAATCGGTTTTTTATTACATGCATATGAATACACCAAAATAACATTGTTTATAATTTTTGTCTGTCTGTCTGTCGGTCTGTTTGTTCCGGCTAATCTCTGAAATGGCTGGACCGATTTTGACGGAACTTTTTTTGGCAGGTAGCTGATGTAATAAGGAGTAACTTAAGCTAATTTTATTTTAGAAAAATTCCACGCGGACGAAGTCGCGGGAACAGCTAGTAACTAATAAAATGGTTACATAACGTGTCCCAATTAGGCTCCGTCCCTATCCGATATTATCCGTCACTTTTATTTCGGATTCGGTTACGGTTAGGGATATTATTTATATCGGATATCCGAGTTTCGGTTACGGTTACGGAGCTCCCTAACATCGTTGATATATACATTGTGTACTTATGTTTTTTTTTTTATTAATTTTATATGTTTCTCTACTGTTTTTATTATCACGTTTTTTTTTCTTCTTTTTTTTATAAATATAATTTATGTACTTATGTAGGTGTCTATTGAAAATTCCCCGCGTCAACAACTGCATGTAAGGGGCCGTTCAAGTATTACGTAAGCACTATAGGGGGGCGGGGGTCTTTTCTTTGCTTATTTTGGATGACATGGGGGTGGGGGCGTCTGTATGATGATTACGTCATCGGTCGTAATTTACTTTTTTACACGAATGGCAACCCTCACATTGTCTTTGTTAAAAAAACAATACATTAATTGAGAAATGTTTACGTAAGCATGGGGGAGGGGTAAGAGCTTTGCTTACTTTTGCTGACAACGGGGGATGAGGGGTAAATAATTGTGATAAATCTGCTTACGTAATACTTGAACAGCCCCTATATTTTTATACCCATTCCCATAAAAGGGCTCTTGACTTTTTCTAAACGATACTTAGAGTCAGCTTATGTTATTTTAATTATATAAAAAATTAGTTTACCAGCCTATACATTTTTTTATTAACAAAATCACAACCTTATCTGGTTTTCTAATAGTATGATTATGGCGCACCCATATATCGTCTGTATAGTGTATCTACACCTCTTATCTAATCTAGATATGTCTAATGCTTTAGTAAATTTATATATGTAATATATATTAGTCATACTTGAATATAAACTCTTAGAACACTATAAACACTTTTGAATAGTCATTACATTTGTAAAAACAAGTTAATAATATTCTATTCTACATTTCTTTAATCTACCGCTCATTCGGTAAGCTGTCTCATCACAAGAAGAACGAGCAAGAAACTTGCGTGTTGCTCTTTTAAATAATTTTATTGTTACTTTACATTTTTAAGATGTTACGAATGAATGTGGATGGTTGTAAGGGTAGAGGAAGAACAAAAAAGAGATGGATGGACTGTGTGGTAAGAAAGGGAGTAAATAACAAGATGACTGCGAACAAGGATGAATGGAAGAGAAAAACATATTACGCCGACCACAAATAAATGGGATAAGGAAGAAGCAGATGATAATTACTTTACATTTTTAAGTTTAAGTGTGTGAATACAAACCACCAATTAGCACTAATCAATTAAATAGTCAAATAGAAAAAGTATTGAATATATAACCAACTGGTTAAACAATTAATAAGAGGAAATCAATCATAGTGATTAGAGCAGACCAGTCCCTACAAGCAGCACCCTTTCACGAGTATGACGGTTGAGCCAACCATCACTTCGCTCGACCATATTTTTTTTAAAGGATGATAATGGAATGGTGCACCCGCCTGCGCTAACGGTTTACGCTGCAGGTGCACCAATGGAGGATGATAGGATGAACATGAAGTCAGATCAGTTAGCCCAACGTGACAAATTCACCGGGAATGTATCACGATGATTTCCAGGGGGAACCGCGTGGAGGTCGATCTGACATGGTACATTGCTAGCAATGGGATCATTAGTTCACATTACTAATAATCCCCTCCTCTGAGTCATTTATTTGCGTAATCTATCTGTAGATATATCTCCCGTGCATGAACAGAGAAAAATTATTTATTATTTATTTATTTCAGGCTACTAGGCCCGTATTATAAATACCTTATAGACTAACATATATATGAATCAATATTACAAGATAAATTCAAATTCAAAATATCTTTATTCAGTGTAGGTATATTACAGACTCTTATAATATGTCAAATCTACCGTCAGTTCGGAATGATTTCGAGATGAGAAGAATTGTTAGTAATGTAACAATCCCCTTCCCCCGCTGGACCATATTTTAGGGAGCCCGATGACCCGGTCCATGTAGATTAATTAGTTTCAAGTCTACAATGTATGTTTAACTTGTGATCTTTTCAGGGCAAGCACGGCTTTCACGTGCACGAGTTCGGGGACAACACCAACGGCTGCACGTCAGCGGGTGCGCACTTCAACCCCGGGAAGCAGGAGCACGGTGGTCCCGAGGCGACGATCCGCCACGTCGGGGATCTTGGTAACATCGAGGCTACCAGCGACGGCGGTGTCACAAAAGTAAGTATTATGTTGTTGACGCTGTAGTCTAGTGGTTTAGTATACGGCTTTCATTACGTTGGACGCGGGTTCGATTCCTTGCACGGTACAAACATTTGTATTCACATGTATGATTGTGTCGGTCAGGGTGTTTTCTATATATTATTATTATATTTAAAAAAATGTAAGTATTTAATCTGGACAATGTACAGTACCAGCTCTGCTTAGTTTGGGATTAGATGGCGCTGTGTGAATGGTATAAGGATATTTTTATACACCAAATCTGAGGGTAGCATCAACAAAACGACAGTCGTTCGTTGTACGTCGCGTTGAGCACACGCAAATCAGCATATTCTCCGCGAATCAACGTAAACGGAACCATCAGCCGCGATCTCCGCGCAATCATCTTATTAGTACATCATCCAGTGATACGTATATGTTATATATAATAATAATAAACTCTTTATTGTGCACATAGAAGAAATACAATAAGAAAAAAAAATATATAGTGATGATAATAAAATATTATGTCGAAAAAATTAAAAAAATATAATTAGGCGAGGATATCCCTTACCACTTAGGGGTATGATAATAGAATAGAATGGAATAGACAATAATTTATTCAAATAAACTTAATTTAAGCACTTTTGAACAGTCATAACAATTTGTGTTTTATCTACCACTCGTTCGGAAAGCTGTCTCATCACAAGAAGAACGAGCAAGAAACTTGTGTGTTGCTCTTTTAAATAATCCTTGTAAGTTTAAATGAAAAATAGATAGTAGTCGATTCTCAGATCTACTGAATATGCATATAAAATTTCATAAAAATAGGTCAAGACGTTTCAGAGGAGTATGGTAACTAACATTGTGACATGATAATTTTATATATCTTATATATAAAATTCTCGTGTCACAGTTTTCGTTCCCATACTCCTCCGAAACGGCTTGACCGATTCTCATGAAATTTTGTGAGCGTATTGAGTAGGTCTGAGAATCGGCCAACATCTATTTTTCATTCCCCTAAATGTTAAGGGTAGTCCACTCCTAAATTTTTTTTTTTAGACAATATTTTTAGTATCTATTTTTTTATGATACAACATACAAAAATACATACAATCCTAAATTTTCACCCTTCTATCATCAACCCCTATTTTTTATAGCGTTATTAATTTATATGGCAAAACAACGTTTGCCGGGACAGCTAGTAAGATATATTATATATGCGAAAGGGCCAAATGACGCAAACGGTAAATTTTACAGGAGAGCTCATCAAAATTTTCACTGTGATATTTTTACTTTTTTTACGAATCTATAAGTGGTATATCTATGTGTTATCTCTAGAATAATGGGTGTCTTTTTTAAATATAAAAATTATAACGATTTAGATACCATTTTTGGAAAAAGAAATAGTTCCAGTTTCCATTTTTTGCGTTGTGGCCCTTTGGCATTTAATCAGCGATATGTATATTGCGTTTTCCAATAATCCTTAGATTCAACATAAGTTCCATTTTTCATTTAGTTAATTAATACAACTGAAAAACTTATGTAAAAACAAAAGCAGACACACTAGTTTCCAAAAAAAAAATTTTACAGTGCACAGGCCCACAGGCCTAGAATAGAACTGTGAAATTAGAAATGTAAATGTGTATTAATAATAAAGATAGAAATAAGATAATGGTATGAGACTAAAAAGAGTTTCTAAAGAAAAATAATTTTAATATTAACAGGTATGCATCCAAGATTCTCAAATTTCGCTGGTGGGCCCCAACAGCATCATCGGCCGCACTCTCGTCGTGCACGCCGACCCTGATGACTTCGGTCAGGGTGGACACGAGCTCAGCAAAACGACAGGCAACGCCGGCGCCCGTATCGCATGCGGAGTCATAGGCCTCGCTAAAATCTAAACATATCCGTCATATTCGATCCAGTTTCTAAGTAAATACTTCATGGGATTACTTGTGTTACTTAGTTACTAATCATTCTCATTTGAAAGATGTTAAAATTGTCAAATTTTGTATATTTGTCTTGACAGTTGCAATAAATGAATGTAATACTAAAATTAACGTATCCACAGATTAATACAAGTAGTGTCTGTACCAAATTTGACATTGGCAAATTTATAGATACCTAGAGCCATAGTTAAAAAAACATTGCAACTGTAATTGGAAAATTGGCCTTGTATATCATGATACAGGAATCAATTTAAATTGATTTCACATAAGAATTATTAGCAACTATAACTAGTATACATAAGTGAAGTTTCAATAATACTGTATGACAATACTTGAATTATTTACTTAACAGTGGCTTAAAAATCAAATTAATAAAATAAAAGTGTATATGGCAATGTAGCTAGTTGTAAGGTCCCAAACCAATATGGTCTGTAGATTATATTTATGTAATCTGTTGCATTTCTTCTGATGTAATATTTTTGTTTTATTTTTTATCTATGGTGCAGGGAACATTTTTGTATATGGGAATGTGTTCTGCGGCTTGTTTTGTTTCAATAAAACCTTTCTAAAAGATTTTTTAATGTTCTTTCAAGTTTGTTTTTCCCCTCATACATATAAAGATATGAAATGAGATTTAATTTAATTTTATAGGTCCAAAAATGTTTTGGGAAGCATTTCATGATTCATTAATGATGATGTGAGTTCAGATATATATGTACCTGAGATCCTCTTAATTTCCTCTTGATTGATTTATCAAGGCTGAGGGTTTAACCACCAAGAATGCTACTACCAATCAAATCTAACTCTCAGAGATATGTACAAAACATGGGAATCTTAATGACAGTTGTTCTAGTCGCCAAGCAACTTGCTTTGTAAACTATTTCATGTGTAGGGTGTAAATTGGGCATGAAGTTACAGGAAAAAGCCATGATAGTTTAATCCCAATAATATTGTAATATCCATAGTGCTGTTCATGTATATAGGCAATCACTAGCGTTTTCCACAAGTTCAGCTTATTGGTTATTCCAGTAAATTCATGGAATACTAAGAAGTTTGTCTCTCTGTTGTAAAAAAAGATGTGTGTATAGGTAAGTAGATAAAAATAATTTTAATTGTAGAATATTAAACACAAAATATTAAGAATATTTTAATTGTCCTATAGAATATACATCATACTGTCCACTATTTGAAATAAATATATTACAAGATGAGTCATGCGCTTGAAACATGACCGGACTGCTAGTGTTCCACTGCCAGAGACTATTTTCATCGCTCTGTATACTTATTGATGCCCAATAATTATCTAATTCTCGTGAACAAACCTGTTTCTCAACATATTTACAAGTGTTTACAATAATATTTGGTGTTAAAAATCCTTTAACAATAAGGACAGCAACTCTAGTAGATTTCAAAGCATATTCACTTTCTGGTGGTTTGTAGGTGCTTATGTAAGACGGAGTATCGCTTAGATCAGCATTATGAGCTAATAATCCGATCCATTCGACCATATCTTCGAGTTCTACATCTTTTATAGATGGTATTTCAGGTACAGGAGGTGTCAAAGTTCGTGTTAGTACAGCCGAAACTGATACTTGTAAGTTCCTATCACAAAAATATTTAGCAATTGATGATGGACATATATCCTCAGATTCAGGTTCCCACAACACATTAAAGTCAAACTTATCTAACTTATTTAAAGCACTCCTAATTTTATTAGTGGTTTTTAAACTTTTCAAATCAATTTTGACTTCATAAAACTTGTGTGGTTGTTTAATGCCTTCCAAACCCAGTGTTTGATATATAAATTCGATAACATGTAATGTTAATACTCCATCAGGAGTTATTGCTGCACAATTTTGTGTTATGCAGTTCCTATTAATCGACAAGCAATACAAATTACCCTTCTTAACAAAGTTTTCTATAAAAGCAGGTTCTAAAAACTCGCTAAGTGGACAATTCAATAACTTGTAGTAATCCGTGTCTTCTACCAGAAATTGCTCAATGAAACTGGGCACATGTAACTCGTCGGGTAACGTAATAATTAAGCTTTTGTAAAAGTTATTCATTTTTACAGTGTCTAATACAGGATCAAATGTTTCAAACTTCTTCTGATAAGTCATAACTTTCGGTGGCGGGAAATTCCAAACTTCTGGACACAACATTATAATTTATTACTTATCTTATAATTAAAATTACATTAATAAAATTGCTGTAAATTATTTTGTTTTCAATAGAGCACTTCGAAAATAGGATAGTTATTATATTATAACCTAAAATGTATACGCCGACTACTGACAGGTATTCAGACACTGACAGCAAGGCATGACAGTCAACTCCAGTCAGACAAGTAATGACAGTTGACTGACATTTTTTTAAGCTTTTGGTTTAGAATTTTGACGTCTCTAAGGAATAAAAAAATAATTTAGGATCTTAGAAGCAAATAACTCAAATATTATTTTATACTAGCTGAGCTCACGGTTTCACCCGCGTGAAATTCATAGCATATATGTTATTCAGATGTATAATCCATATTACTGCATAGTTTCATCAAAATCCGTACAGTAGTTTTTTAGTGCGTGAAACAGTAAAAAACATCCATCCATACTGACAAAATTTTGCGTTTATAATAGTAATAAGATTTTAGTGATGTGATCACTTATAGATTTTCTGTGTGTGAATAAATTTTGGCCAAATAAAATATTATACAATAGATTAACCTATTGTATCATATTTTATTTAGTCAAAATTTGGTATTTTTATGTATTGTTATAATTTTTATTTTTTTCTTTCAATTAATTATTAAAGTGCACCGCCTTATTATCATGATCTACGCGCTTGTTGACTGGTAGAGAATGCCATCAGGCATTAAGTCCGCCATGTATACATTTTTGTGTGCAAAAGAATAAATAAATAATACTAAACTGAAAAGTCTGTCGGTCAACCTTTAGTAAACATAAATGCATAGAAATAAAACTAATTGAATAGAAACAGATATATATTTTTTAATTTACTTATATACCTAATAATCACAAACCCTTAACACTAAATAATTGTAGATAGTAACTGATCTTCTGCCTAACTAATTGCGAGTTCGTCAGCCGGTACGGCTTTGAAGAGAGATTCTATGGTATCCATAACAGCAGACACGATGGAGTAGACAACTGGCGGCGCTACCTCCTGCATCACATCGTTCCAATTGTTGTTCATGAACGCTTCTACTGGTTCCGCTGGAACAGATAAAAAATACACCCAAATAATTAACAGGTCTATGGTTTATAAATATTTAGCGTCTATATTGTTACCGCTATTATTTATGTTATGTTCAGCTGGTACTGGCAGCGACAGGAGGAGGAAGATTAAATAACGAGTCCAGTGGTGGCTATGTATAAATGTAATATTCTTGTGGTATTTACAATAGTTGTATGGTTTTATTATATATATAAAAACGTATATTTCTGTATGAGAAAAGAAGCGATTGTGTCCCAATCTGACAAGCTTGTTATTCTTCTTTCTACAACGTCGCTAGGCAACGGTGTTGCCGCGCACTATCCGTAAATCGCCACACCACCCCCCCTCGGAGAGAAAAAGGTGAAAGATAAACGAAAACAATAAAAAAAAAAAAAAAATAAGATAAAGAAACTACAGATCTAAAATGTCCCTAAAACGAACTCTCCGTCCTGACCTGGTAACTATAGGTTTTGCAGCTGAAACAGGTCGATTAGAAGGAATTAGAGGTGACGAGGAAGGCGAGGGTATTTGGGAGGAAGATAATGGTGGCGAATGAGGAAAAGTTGTGATTGGCGGACAAGATGAAGTTGAAGGAATGGAAGATGAAAGTGTGGATGGGTGTGAGGACTCGTGCATGATATGAGCAGGCTTCACACGATCCAGACTGACCTCCATTTTTTTACCCTGGACGTCAAGAGTGACGGTTTTGTCACGCTTACATAAAATTTTGTGAGGCCCTGTATAAGGAGCCTGCAAAGGACGTCGAATGCTGTCATCTCTTAGGAAAACGTAAGTGGCGGAAGGCCAATCCCTATAAATGAAAGTTGGCGGATTGGAATGATGTGACGCTGGCGTGGGCATGATATTATTCATGGTGGCACGAAGCTGTGTGATGAAGTCGGTAGGATCTTTGATGGTTGATGAAATGACAGATGGTGTAACAAATTCACCCGGCAAGCGAAGAGTTTCTCCCAATACAAGTTCAGCCGAGGAGGTCTTCAGATCCTCTTTAACTGCTGTGCGCATACCTAAAAGAACCCAAGGTAACGCGGTTATCCATAAATCGCCGTGACACATTAAAGCTGCTTTGAGTTGACGGTGCATGCGTTCCACCATGCCGTTTGCGCAGGGATGGTAACTAGTTGTACGGATTCGACGAGTTGCACAGGACTGCATTAAGTGACGGAATAAAACGGATTCAAATTGACGACCCTGATCCGTGGTAACAGTAATAGGGACGCCAAATCGCGATATCCAACCGCTGACAAAAGTATCTGCAACTGTTTCTGCAGACATATTTGGCATCGGCCAGACTTCCGGCCAGCGTGTAAATCTGTCCACGGCTGTCAGGCAGTATTGCATGCCTTTGTTGACAGGAAGTGGACCGATGATGTCAATATGAATGTGTTGAAAACGGCCGGATGGATTAATGAAATGACCAACGGGTGTAGAGATGTGCCGGATGACCTTACTGCGTTGGCAAGGAATACAAGTTCGAGTCCAGGAATTACAGTCTTTGTTCATCGAGGGCCAAACGTAACGATCAGATATCAAACGAAGTGTGGCTCGAGAACCTGGATGACTCATGTTATGTAACCTGTCGAAGTATTTGCGTCTAAATGAAGATGGTAAGTATGGACGAGGTTTGCCAGTGGACGTGTCGCATATGACAATGATGTCTGTTCCGGAAATTGTGACATGTTCTAATTTTAAAGATGAAGTATTATTGGATATTAATGCTTGCAACTCTTGGTCTGTTTGTTGAGAGCGACTTAATGAATGATAATCATCCTCCAGCTGAATGGCCTCAATACGCGACATCGTGTCGGCAACAACATTCTCATTGCCCTTAATATACACGATGTCGGTGGTGAACTGTGAAATGAATGACAGTTGATTTAATTGAGGTGGAGGAAGTTTTTCTCGTTTTTGAGAAAATGCGTAAATGAGTGGTTTGTGATCTGTGTAAATAGTGGTATGTTGTGCTTCAAGAATGTGGCGAAAATGTTGCACGCTTTCGTAAATGGCGAGTAACTCTCTGTAATAAGCAGGAAGCGATGCCTGTTTAGGCGTCAACTTCTTGCTAAAAAATGAGAGAGGTTGCCAAGAATTTCCAACTTTCTGTTGTAGACATGAACCTACGTGTGTAGTGGAAGCGTCGGTGAAAAGAGCAAGTGGAGCGTCCGCCACTGGGTGACACAACATAGTAGCGTCAGCTAAACTATCGCGACACTTGTGAAATGCTTGTTCCAGATCGGGAGTCCAAGGAACTGGTTTGGAACCCTTAATTTTGGCATCTGCCAGGATGTTAATTAACGGGGCCTGAAATTCAGCGGCTCTGGGTATAAAACGACGATAGAAGTTTAACATACCCAGAAACCGTCGTAGGCCATGAGCTGTTTCAGGTAAGGGAAAATTCCTGATGGTTTCGACACGATCTGATGGTGGTTGTGTACCTGCTGATGAAATGTGACTGCCCAAGAATGTAATTTCTGGAACACCGAACTTGCATTTGGCAATGTTGATGACGATTCCGTATTGAGCTAAGCGTTGAAAAAGCAGTCGCAGATGTTCTGCGTGCTGAGCGGCGTCGCGCGAGTAGATGAGGATATCGTCGATGTATGGAAAGCAAAAAGTAAGTCCCCGTGTGACCTCATCGATGAAACGCTGGAATGTTTGACCAGCGTTTCTGAGACCAAACGTCATGTAGGGAAATTCGAATAGTCCGAAAGGAGTGGTAATGGCTGTCTTGCATATATCAGCTGGATTGACAGGAATTTGCTGGTAGGCTTTTACCAGATCAATTGTACTGAAGATGGTGGCTCCTACCAGATTGTGTGAAATATCCCCGATGTACCGAACCGGATATCTATCAGGAATAGTGCGCGCATTTAAGGCCCTGTAGTCACCACAAGGTCTCCAAGTGGCATCCTTTTTAGGAACTAAATGGAGCGGTGAAGACCAAGCACTGCTGGATGGTCTAGCAGTACCGGCAGCAACCATGTCGGCAAATTCTTTTTGGGCAATCTGAAGTTTCTGGGGAGCAAGGCGACGAGGACGGCATGATAATGGCGGTCCGTCAGTAGTGTTAATGAAATGCACTGTATTATGTTTAACATCGCGAGGAAGACCGGGTGGACGAGTGAGTTCCGGATATTCCTGTAAAATTGTTAGAAAGGGTGAGTCTTTAGAATCACTAATAATGGTCTTGACGCTGGGCTGATTAGATGACGCGCACTGAATCTGATGACGAAGACCGGTTGTTCCATCGACTAGACATCTATGGGTACAATCTGGCAAGAGATTGTAATGAGCGAGGAAATCGGAACCGATGATAGGAACGCTGACGTCAGCTATAATGAAATCCCATGCAAAAACTCGTCGAAGACCCAGGTTGAGATTGAAACGCAGAGTACCGTACGTCGTAATAGCACTGCCATTGGCTGCTTGCAGCACAAAGTCAGATTTATAGGCGTGGGAACGAAGGGCGCTTTTAGGATAGCAGCAGATATCGGAACCTGTATCTACGAGAAATCGTCGCTTACTGTATGAATCTGTTACAAATAAACGGCGACTTGAAGTGGTATGAGAGGAGTCGGTAGTCGCCTTTACTGACTCCTGTTCATGTTTAAAAATAAATCTTGTTGCCAGTTACAAGGAGTAGTACAATGTAACGCCTTTTCCTTATATATACGGTGGTACCAACATATCCTAGGTTGAGGGCTCCTACTACGACTTTGACGTGATTGTGGAGTCCGAGACCTGGACCGACTTCCCTGTCTCTGATAAGCAGTTAAGGAAGCTACCTGCTCTGTGAGTTGGTCGATGCGCTGAGAAAGAGTGGCAAATGGGTCGACGCTTGAAGATGAAGTGACAGGCTGAGATGATATACCAGCAACTGAGGTGGAACTAGCAAGTGGTGTTGCAGGAGATACTTCCATAATGCGATCAGCTAGATCCGCTACCTTCTCTAATGGAAGATCCTGTGCAGCCAAAATGGTCTGAAGGTGAGTGGGCAGGCGACGCATCCAAAGTTGGCGAAGTATGCCTTCGTCGTCACGAAGTGAATCCCCCGTGAGAGACTTTAGGTGACTCAGAAATTGTGAGGGACGCCTATCCCCCAGCTCCTCATCACTTAAGAGATGTCGGACTCTTTTTTCCTCAGATGCCGATAGTCTGCGGATTAATTCAGCTTTTAAAAACATGTATTTGTCTTCCGCGGGTGGTTTGATGATTATATCTTCCACCTCAGCAGCCTGGCTTTGTGACAAATGACTGATAATATAATTAAATTTAGTGGAATCAGCGGTGATGCCAGATAGTTCAAAATTTGCTTCAACCTGCGCGAACCACAATGCCGGACGGTCAGGCCAGAAAGGAGGTAATTTTACGGAAACCCTATGCACTTCCGAGGCAGATGATGGGGACGAATTTTGTGTGCCGGATTGTGCCATTTTATATATATATGACCAATGCGATGCCGAATATAAAGAAATTAATATTTACAATAAGAAAATAAAAAATATACACATGCAATAAAAATAAATTTCAACATAAAATTATAAAAAAAAAAAAATACACGTAAAATAAATTGACGGCAATAGAAAATGAGAAAAGTAAAATAAAATCTTAATATCGAAGTCCGTAGTATCCTGACTACGTAGTACTGGGCCGTGTCGCGTGGTTTCTTTATAGGCGGCGGGCGGCGGGCGGCTGGCGGCGGGCGGCGGGCGGCGGGCGGCGCGGGCGGCACAACGACGGCGAGTACTTGTGTGATGGACGATAGTGTTTACGGTCGATGGTGATAAGATCTTGTATGGTAAGAATGCCGGTAAGGAGAAGGAATGTAGGAAAGATGGCACCTGGACTGGAGTAGGTTCACGCTTCACCGTGTCTGCTGTGATGTCGTGGAACGTCGTGGGTCACCAATTTAGCGTCTATATTGTTACCGCTATTATTTATGTTATGTTCAGCTGGTACTGGCAGCGACAGGAGGAGGAAGATTAAATAACGAGTCCAGTGGTGGCTATGTATAAATGTAATATTCTTGTGGTATTTACAATAGTTGTATGGTTTTATTATATATATAAAAACGTATATTTCTGTATGAGAAAAGAAGCGATTGTGTCCCAATCTGACAAGCTTGTTATTCTTATTTCTACAACGTCGCTAGGCAACGGTGTTGCCGCGCACTATCCGTAAATCGCCACAAATAGAACAGAAACTATGTATTCAAATAAACTTAAATTTGAGCACTTCTTATTTTTTATCTACTACTGTATCGAAAAGCAGTTTCAGAAAAGAAGAATTAGCAATATATTTGCCTACTGCTTATGTCTTAGTTTTAACGACATAGACTTTTTACAATCTGTGTCATGTGCGTAGGTATTTATTTATTTACTTAAGCTTTATTGACCAATAAATTACGGGTACCAATAAGGTACATAAGATAGATTTAATGCTATAGACACTCTCTACCAGCCAATCTTCGGAAAGTGTCACTTATTTTTGCCGCCAAACAACTTGCTTGCCAGCTGCAAAAATATAGAATATCTATTTTGCCTATGCCCTAATTACCCAAGTAAAAAGTATATTTAAAATTAATAAAAAATAGTAGCAATGTCTAAGAAATTTAATTATTATAGGCTTACAGCACTACCACACACAGTAATTAGGTACTTAGTCTAAATATTATAATTGAGGCTGTTAAAATGTTTTTACTTTTGTAATTAATACTGGCATAACTTTGAGTTTTTGTTTATTCACTGCTTATGATTTTTGTATTATCTGATTGCACTAAGAATTAGTGCATGACGGTTTCTATGTTGATTATCGCTTGCCTCCTACTTGTTATTATGTAATTATTTATATAAAATAAATATCTATTCAAAAGAACAACACACAAGTTTCTTGCTCTTTCTTCTTGTAATGAATCTGCGTTACGAATTTGTGATAGAATGTGACTATTCAAAAGTGCTTGTATTGAGTTTATTTGAATAGAGATTATTTCTATTTCTAACAGATTTCATTGGATAGTAGATTATACTTACCAAGAATCTTGTTACCATTGAATAAGTTATCAAATTGGAAGTGTGCATTAGTTTTGACTTGATACGCATGTTTCCACTTGTTCACATGCCAGTGCGGCTTCCCGTCCTCTCCTTGAATAATTCTCACTTCACTCGTCATTTTAATCACGATGTCACCTGTAAAGTTTATAAAAATATTTAGTTTAGTTTATGAGGACCTTGGGGGGCGAATGGTGTAGCACACCACCTTGCTTCGTGGTCGCGGGTTCAATTTCTCGCACGGTACAAACATTTGTATTCATACCTGGCACAGTGCAAATGTTTGTATTCATAAGTATTGTTTATCTTATTTGTTTATTATATTTGTATTGGACCGAGTGTTTTTTGTTTTTTTATGGATGATAATAATAATAATAATCTCAGGACAATTCACACAGCACCATCTAGACCCAAATTAAGCTAGCTAAAGCTTGTGTTATGGGTACTAGATAACTGACTTTATTTATAGGAAGAATAACTGTAACTACTTAAATTGGTGTCAATAAAATATATTATTATTATTAATTTTAATAATAAGTAATATTATTTAAGTATTGTCCGATTTTTTTAATCTTTATACATTTATTGAATATGGCTTAGTATCGTAATTCAAGTTTGTTGAAGTCGTTTCCAGGTTATCGACAGTTAATAATGTTTCTGACTAAACTATCTGAGACAGTAATAAAAAGTATATTATTATTAATATTGTATTAATAATAATACTAACCCAGCATAACCACACATGGTTGAATTACGATACTAAGCCATATTCCATAAATGTATAAAGATTAAAAAAATCGGACAATACTTAAATAATATTACTTATTATTAAAATTAATAATAATAATATATTTTATTGACACCAATTTAAGTAGTTACAGTTATTCTTCCTATAAACTATTACATTTTTTTTAATAATATAATAATACATACATATAATTTAAAAATATAAAAAAAAAATAAAGCTAGAAAAGTATTATTTAAACAGACACAACGAACGAAGAAATTTTATATACATATTGTATTATGTACACAATTCCCTACCTTCCAGTTCTTTGAAAGTCAGTTACATAGATACAGATCAGATACATAGATATTTTTTTGTAAATAAATACATATTATACATAGAAAACACCCAGACCGATACAAACAATCACATGAATACAAATGTTTGTGCCGTGCGAGGAATCGAACCCGCGACCATCGGTCGTAAAGCGGTGTGCTAGACCGCTAGACCACCGAGGTCGTCGAAATGATAATGGAGTGGTGCACCCGCCTGCACTAACAGTTTTATAAGCATGTATGTAGTAAGTGATACATAAGTATTGATTATAATGATAAACCAAACAGTATACACTCAAATATTGTATCTATCATTTACAGCATTTGCCTAAGACACACCACCCTTATATGGCGACCATGCTACCCTTACAGTTTACGCTGGGCAACAGTGGACGATGATAAGATGAACATGAGATCAGGTCAGTTTGTTCATCGTGACATATTCACCAAGAATTTATTAAGACGGTTTCCAGGGGGAACCACGTGGAGGTCCTGACCTGCTAGTAGTACATTGGTAGTAATAAGATCATCAGTCCACATTACTAACAATGCCCTTTCCCCCAGTACATACATACCATACATTATAAACATATTCATACATAACCGAAATTAAGTTATGTACCCAAAATTCAAATTCAAATTCAAAAATCATTTATTCATGTAAGACATTTTAGCCGCTTATGAACGTCAAATTTTTCCCTACCGTCCAGTTAGATATTCAATTGAGAAAAACTAACAAGAAACTCAATTAAATTTCTTTTTTTGAACACATAATTTTTTCCCTTTTCTGCGTAAACCTGAAAACCACATTGTGAGAAAGTGCCTTTCCATGGCTACAACAAAAAGAGGACGAGGCAGGCCACCAACTACCTGGTTGACAAATATCCACAGGGACATGAAGGAGTTGGACCTGTCAAATGACGATGCTTACCAGTGAAATGTATTACCCCAGGATTAGAAAAGCCGACCCCGAGTAACGGGAAGAGGCGAGGATGAAGATGATATATTTTTTTCCCTACCGTCCCGTTCAGTATACAGGTTCAATTGAGTGACCATTCCATTATCATCCATAAAAAAAATTATGTACTTACGTATATTAATATTATATCTGCCTTCTCCCTCAACTGGTAATATAATAAGCTTCCCACTGAGCTTGTAATGTCCGCTCTGGTCGATGGAGCACCGGATCACCACCGACTGTTTAGGCTTGGTGATGTCGTGTCTGAAAGAAACGAATCCGTCATACTCGTGAACGGGTGCTACCTGTTCTGGTCTGTTTGGGTTACGGCCACTAAAAATTTTCTTTACATAAAAATGCAATATTTAGCCTTAGTGATGTTGTGTCTGAAAGTAAATAAATACGTCATACTCGTGAACGGGTGCTATCTATTCTGGTCTGTTCTGGTTACGGCCACTAATTATTTTCTTTTAACAAAAATGCAATATTTAGGCTTAGTGATGTCGTGTCTGAAAGTAAATGAATACGTCATACTCGTGAACGGGTGCTATCTATTCTGGGCTGTTCTGGTTACAGCCACTAATTATTTTCTTTTAACAAAAATGCAATATTTAGGCTTAGTGATGTCGTGTCTGAAAGTAAATGAATACGTCATACTCGTGAACGGGTGCTATCTATTCTGGGCTGTTCTGGTTACAGCCACTAATTATTTTCTTTTAACAAAAATGCAATATTTAGGCTTAGTGATGTCGTGTCTGAAAGTAAATGAATACGTCATACTCGTGAACGGGTGCTACCTATTCAGTTGTTCGGGTTACGTCCACTAATTATTTCTTTTTGACAAAAATCCAATAGCATCCTCTGGTGGTCACAATATTATCTAATGGAATTTAAAAATGAATCTGCTCTTGTAAGCATGTACAAGCTCATTTAAAAAGAATACGAGCTGAGTTTCTTGTCAGTTCCTAGCTCGAAAGCACTCTGAACTGTCGTTAGATTTGTCATATCATAAGAGTCGGTAATAAACCTACATGAATAAAGATTTAGAAATAATTAGAAGCACAATCATAACTTTATTATAATATTAATTTAAAAAAAAACATTGGGGGCACCCTTACACTGGCAAGGGTGCCCACTAAGGGGTATAAAAATAATAAAATAGACAACACAAAAATCATTATATAATGTAAATAGAGAACGCATGGCAAAAACTTTGTACTCCTTTTTACGAAAATTGTGCGGTCGGACCATTATGAAATTATGCACACTTATAGTTCATATAGTGGAAGAGCCCACGACGGCCAGACATTTATAAAATAACTAGCTGTCCCGGCAAACATAGTTTTGCCTTAAAATAAAAAAAAATTTAGGGGTGGACTACCCCTAACATTTAGGAGGATGAAAATTAGATCTTGGCCGATTCTCAGACCTACTCAATACGCTCACAAAATTTCATGAGAATCGGTGCCGTTTCGGAGGAGTATGGGAACGAAAACTGTGACACGAGAATTTTATATATAAGATATAGTTTAGGGGTGTCCAGCGGTGGGTTGGAACAATACTAAGTGTCTGGCAATGAGCAGCGCAAGAAATAATACTGTTATGAACAATATGTGAAAAAATTTTGTTTCATAAATTAACGAAAATGATATGAAATTGTATACACCGAATGTTACCCAATATACGCTTTCAATGCGTCTGGTAGGATGATAGAACCAACAAAACTGTCTGGCAATTAAGGAAACACAGTTTAAACTCAAAGGTGACTGACATCGTGATCTATCAACGCACAGTCCAAACCACTGGAAGGATCGAGCTGAAATTTGGCATGCAGGTAGATGTTATGACGTAGGCATCCGGTAAGAAAGGATTTTGATTAATTCTACCCCCAAGGGGATAAAATAGGGGATGAAAGTTTGTATGAAACTTTGTCAATTTTAAACCGATCGGGCTGAGACTGCATGGATAAAGCTACTATGAGGGGGAAGGGGATTGTTAGTAATGTGGACTGATGATCCCATTGCTAACAATGTACCATGTCAGGTTGACCTCCACGCGGTTCCCCCTGGAAACCATCGTGATAAATTCCCGGTGAATTTATCACGATGGGCCAACTGACCTGACTTCATGTTCATCTTATCATCCTCCACTGGTGCCCCGCCAGCGTAAACCGTTAGCGCAGGTGGGAGCATCATTCCATTATCATTCACTAAAAAAAAAAAAGCTACTATGACGTAAGCATCCCCTAAGAAAGGATTTTGATAAATTTCAACACTAAGGGGATAAATTAACGCGACCGAAGCCGCGGGAAAAGACTAGTAATATTTATAAACTCCAGCTTTAGTAAAATAATGTAAGTATATTTTTAAAATAATACAGTTTATATATTAAATCAATAAAAAAACATTAACACACCACAATGTATTTGACGCGCGCATATATATATACATATATATACTCTTTTCTTTAATTATTATTGCTGGGTCAAAGATATTTTTGTATATTTTATTATGGTTGTATATGGACCGCTGGGTGACTGGTAAGCAATCGAGTTGGAACGTAATATAATGTACATGCAGACCTTGAGATGCCGGTACAGCAACAATAAGTCAGTACCTAGTGTGAATTAATTAAAAATAAATATTTAATTAGGCATTCCAACCTTTTAAAGATTTAAAACACGCGTGTATCCTCATGTTATCACAATAATCCAATATGAAGATGTCGCTTATGGGTCAGTACTGATTATGTTACACAAATAGTGGTTGTTACTACTTCTACTTTTATTTCTTTGTCTTGGGACTAGATGGCGCTGTGTGGATTGACCTGACATTTTTTTGTTTTCTTTGGCAAGAGGCTAGTGTTACCTATTATGTCATTAAAACAGGTAACGAGGCGGGATAATGAACAGGAACTGGTTAAATTTTAGTTACACTCGGAAAGTGATCATGGGTTTTAAAGTTTAATGTTATTATGGAAAATAAAGTCGCAAAAGATTTATAAATTATAGGACTAGGATGAGCTATACTGCATACAATGGATGAAGGAAAAAGAATTTCTAATGATATGAATGACTATAAATGATCATAAGAGGAGCAGGGAAAGATAATGTGGTTTAAATGTAAATGACCCATATTTTCTCCACATTCACAGATATTATCGTATTTTATACGTAGTTTTGTTAAATGTTCAGGGTTGTAAATAACGTTGCCAGACGTCCCATATTTCCCGGGACGTGCCGCATTTTAGGCTTAGTTTAAAATGTCCCGGCGCCGCGCCGCGGCGGTACTGACTCCGTCCCGTATTCGGACCGTGTTCCGTTTTTTATTATTAATGATTTATGCTAGACAAAAATACTCACGCAACGTTTGTACCCATAATTTAATAAAAAGCGAGTCGATGACCGTTTTTAATTACGATTTTAAATTTTTATAAAAATGTTACAACCAATAAAAATATGTTAAAACTGATTTGCTCCTCAGAAAAATATATAAGAAATATAAAGAATGTCACTATATAATTTTGTTTTTTATTTGTCCCGGGTAAATAACTAAATTCCCAAATTTTTTTGCCTATTTAAGCATTTGTCCCTTATAGGCTGAAAACAATCTGGCAACTCTAGTTGCAAACATGACCAATTCATACATATTAAAACATTAGTTGATCTTCTATCAGATGTAATTTGAAAAACCACCGTTTATAAGGTATAAACGGTTGGACTAAACAATACCGTTTGCCTTTAATTCTGCTATGAGATATTATTAAATTATTAGAATAGAATAGAATAGAAGAATAGAAAATCATTTATTCAAATAAACTTAATCTAATCACTTTTGAATAGTCATAAATTTTTTTTTTATCTACTGCTCGTTCGGAAAGGATTTTTTTTTTTTCTAAATATGGTCGAGCGTAGACAATTGCTTGGCTCATCCGTGATAGTCGTGAACGAGTGTTGCTAGTCGTCTGCTCTAATCACTACGACTGATTTAATCTTATTTTGTTACTCAACCAGTCGATTGTGTATTTAATATTCGGACTCTAATGAATTAGTAGTTGGTAGTTTGTATTCACATATTTCAACTTAAAAATAAAAAGTTACAATTATTAAAAAGGGCAACACGCAAGTTTCTTGCTCATTCTTCTTGTGATGAGGCAGCTTTACGAATGAGCGGTAGAAAAAATAACTGTGGCTATTCAAAAGTGCTTAAATTAAATTAATTTGAATAAAGGTTTTTCTATTCTGTTCTCTTTCTTTTTAATGGAATTCAAAAATAGAGAAGGAGAGGAGAGACTCAAATAGGCAGTATTTTTTATTGGTTGTTATGTAAATGAATAATGGAGTAACAACCAATAAAAAAATACACAACGAAGACTGAGCAAGAAACTTGCGTGTTGCTCTGCGTTGATAAGTCTACGTTCAGAATAAAAAAATATGACTATTGTGAAGTGCTTATATTAAATTTATTTGAATATAGACTCTTTTTTCTAAAATGTTTTCTAAAAGGTCAGATTTACATGATTGATTTTTTCTACATCTATAAAAATAATTATATCTTCTTGGATATAATGTAATAATAATATTTAATGACATATCGAAATTATGACGCACAATCGTAACTTCTACGAATCGACTGCATAACAAGTTTTAGCTCGTATAATCTAGAATTTTGTTACGGATCTATCCAGCTAAATTAATATTTTTTTAAACAAATCTTAATTCTTAATCATTACATAGTATAAAACTAAGTCGCTGTCGCTGTCTGTCCGTCCCTATGTATGTTTAAATCATTAAAACTACGCAACGGATTTTGAAACGGTTTTTTAATAGATAGAGTGATTCAAGAGGAAGGTTTATATGTATAATACATATACACCCGTGCGAAGCCGGGGCGAGTAGCTAGTAATATTATAAATGTGAAAGTTAGAATGTAAGGATGTTTGTTACTCTTTCACGCAAAACCAAATGAACGGATTTTGATGAAATTTACATTAATAACTTATGCATCAAATTAACACATAGGCTATATTTCTTATATATATATTGAAATTTAAAGTGAGTGAAACCGCGTGCACAGCTAATCTAAATCTATATAACTCAAAGGTGACTGACATAGTGATCTATGTCAGTTGAGTTATATATATTTAGATTAGCTATTAAAGTGACTGACATAGAGATCTATCAACGCACAGCCCAAATCACTGGACGGATCGGCTGAAATTTCGCATGCAGGCTCGAAGAAAGGATTTGATAAATTCCACCCCTAAGGGGGATAAATTAACGCGAGCGAAGCCACGGGCAAAAGCTAGTGTATATATCTATTTACTCAAGGTACAATAAGTAGGTAGGTTACCTACCATAATTGTTTTACAACTTCATTTAGTAGTCTTGGTTATAGATAACTATCAATTCATTAGGAGTTTATTACCTCTTGTGTACAGACCACGGATGGTAGTTTATTCTTCTTGTTTATTGCAAACTAGCTGAACCCGCGACTTCGTCCGCGTGGAATTTAACTTTAATTTTCTAAAATAAAAGTAGCCTAAGTTACTCCTTGTTACATCAGCTACCTGCCAAAAAAAGTCCCGTCAAAATCGGTCCAGCCAAATCTACATACAAATAAAAAACTGGAGAGTTTGTTTGTTTCTACCTACCAGTTGAATTACAGAAAATCTTTACTCATATTCATATTATTCATATTACTTTATTCACAAATGTAACAAAACTCGTTACACAACAGCATGTCAATAGTAATTACATTTTTAAGGTAATTATGTCCCAATTACAATTTTAAATATTCAAAATAATAAATTAAATAATATATAATATATTAGTATAATCTTTACTAGTTGAATTTTAGAAATATTGCTATAAAAATAGCAGAATTTCTAAACAAGTTTCTAATAATAATAACCTTGGACAATTCACCATCTCAGTTCAATGAATTTAAAAGAAATAATTAATAAAACAAAAAAAATAATTTATTCATGAATAAATAAAAAAGTATTACTCAGTCGAGTTTGTGTTATGCAAAGATATAAAGATAATTCTGCGAGCGAGTGATATGATGGGAAATGTTCTGGGAGGATGGTTATTATTGCTTTTACATTAAATTGATGAAAATATTGGAAATATATAAAAAAATTGCAGTGTCTTTCAATCTTTTTGATTTCGCGACCCCGTTACAGGTTAAAATATTCTGGCGACGCCCTTGTGTCTTAGAAACCAATCAAATAATTTTATTAATTATTTTAAAATTTATTTACAATTATTTAATTAAACGCATTATGTACGTTAGTTAGGTAAAAAATTGTTTTTGCACGAAAACACGAATATCCAGAACTGGAAAGAACCCTCTCTTTCCAGTTCTGGATATTCGTGTTTTTTATTACCATTCGCCACTTCATACAAGTGTGAACTGACATTTTCTTCAATGGTAGATATTAAAACTAAAATGAGAAAGAATAGAATAGAATAGAAAATCATTTATTCAAATAAACTTACATTGAAGCACTTTTGAATAGTCATTACATTTTTTTTAATCTACCGCTCGTTCGGAAAGCTGTCTCATCACAAGAAGAAATAAAAATAGTCAATATTGAAGTTTGCCATACAAACTACAGAAAAAAAACTCAACTCACCTAATGCCGTCAATTTTACAGTTCTTAAGTCCAGTCACCACATTGTCTGTGAAGGTGAGTGACAACCCACCCTGGTCACTGTTTATTAATGGTATGTTCAAGGGATCCAGTGGTTTAACACCCAGTTCAGGTAAACCGGCAGCTACATATGGTAACGCTGCTTGTGCTGCTGCTAGAGTGCAAGTGTCGTTCTGTGTTTCACATGGTGTGATGAATGGGGCTGGAAAGAAGAAAGAAATTATTTATTAATAGACATAGTGATCTATCAACGCACAGCCCAAACCACTGGATGGATCGGGCTGAAATTTGGCATGCAGATAGATGTTATGACGTAGGCATCCGCTAAGAAAGGAAATCTGATTGATTCTACCCCCAAGGGGATGAAATAGGGGATGAAAGTTTGTATGAAATTTTGTCAATTTTAAACCGATCGGGCTGAAACTTTGCACGCATAAAGCTACTATAACGTAGGCATCCCCTAAGAAAGGATTTTGATAAATTTCACCCCTAAGGGGATAAAATAACGCGAGCGAAGCCGCGGGCAAAAGCTAGTTTCAATATAAAATATAGTCTATATGCTAATCTGTTGCATAAGCTATATTACTGTAAAGTTTCATCCAAATCCAGTTATCAAAAACACTATCGTGATTATCTTTTGATTGCCTGCGATTAATAATTATCGACCAAATTTAATTACCATGAAAAAGGTTATAGTGTAATAATCTTAAAAGAGATACATATACTGTCTGGGAATTTTTTTTAGATCATTTAAAGGGGAATAATTCTTTCATACATATTTTTTGGGTAACTTGAATCGTTTATTTGTTGTGTGCGCGCACGCAACGGAAGTCCACAAATATGATTTCCCCGTTTTTGTAACATTATTGATGCTCTGCTTCTATTGGTCGTAGCGTAATGTTGTATAGCTTTAAGCCTTCCTCAACAAATGGACTATCCAACACAAAAATAATTTTTCACTTCGTATCAGTAGTTCTTGAGATTAGCGCTAGATCAATAAGATATGCATTAGATGTTAGGAAATATAACCGAAGAATATATAATTGCGACTACCAGTTTATAACTACTTATAAGACCTTCCTAAGACTTGTTCGCCCTTGAACTGTTTGAAGAAATGTGAATATGACGTTTTTAATAGCAATTATTACAACTCGCGTCAAACTGTAGCTTGTAGACAGTATTTATTTATTAATTAACTGGCTACTCGCCCTGGCTTCGTACTGATGTATATGTAATATAAACATTCCTCTAGAATCACTCTATTAATTAAAAAAAACCGCTTCAAAATCCGTTGCGTAGTTTTAAAGATTTAAGCATACATAGAGACGGATAGACAGCGACAGCGACTTTGTTTTGTACTATGTAATGATAATATAGTATTTAGACCACCAGGTGTACACTGGAGTGTAATCTCCAACTAATTCAATTCAATAATTATTTAATGAAACATAACCAATAGAAAATTTTGGATGTTTTCACATAACGCGGATTATATGAAACTGTATGTTTATAATCACTGTGCACATGGCATTCATCACAAAATAAACAATTTCATATAATTTCATTTTGTACCGTTCTTGGAAAGGTAATCAAGAAGTAAATAGATGTAATAATCTTTATTAAAATAAACTTAATATAAGCACTTTGAGTAGTCATATATATATTTTTATGCTATAGCTCATTACAGCACATTAATCGACAATAATGTCAGTTCGTTGATTATCTATATTTATACATATAAATAAAATTGGAGTCACCACAAAAAAATCTCATTTTTACGACAAATATTTTTGTTTATCTATATTTATAAATATATCATCATAAAATTCGTCGTAATAACCGTCGATATCCTGGTGAACACAAAAAAATCTCATTTGTTACGACACCGACAATTTCATCTCTCTTTATTTGATTATTAAGTGGTATTAATAAATATATCATTATCTTTCCTTATCCCATTTATTTGTGGTCGTCGTAATATGTTTTTCTCTTCCATTCATCCCTGTTCGCAGTCATCTCGTTATTTACTTCCTTTCTTACCATATCATCTTTCACACAGTCAATCCATCTCTTTTTCGGCTTAAAAAATACTAACGGCCTAAAATTTTCACTCTTCTACCACCAACCTTTATTTTTTAAAAGCAATATTTATTTATATGGCAAAACTAGGTTTGCCGGGACAGCTAGTAGTAATATAAGTAAGTCTAAGTCGAACAGAGCGGTTTCAGAGGAGCTTCCTCCCGCGTACACTTAGATTGTGGAATGAACTTCCTGCTGAGGTTTTCTCACGAGATTACAGCATGGGGTTTTTAAGAAGGCTATATTAAGGTTTCTTAAGGGTCGGCAACGCGCACGTGATACCCCTGGTGTTTCAGGCGTTCATAGGCTACGGTAACCATTTACCATCAGATGGGCCGTATGCTTGATTGCCACCATAGTAGTATAAAAAAATATATAAATATGGAAGTACTACGTTGGTAGTGTAGCACCTTTTCAGAAGAGGTGCTAAAAAGTCCGATCCAATGTCATTGGATTGGAATTCATTTCCAGAGCATACCAGTAGAGATCTGACCGGCTTTAGATCGTGATACCTACAATGTAATATTATGTTACCTGTGTACCTACTATTATATCAAGAATTCCTAACTTTACATATATAAAATATATCTTATATTAGAGATAGATATCCTATATATATGTATATATATATTACTAGCTGTTCCCGCGACTTCGTCCGCGTAGAATTTTATTTTATATTTCTAAAATATAAGATTTTTTCTAAAATACGTGGCCTAAGTTACATCAGCTACCTTCTAAAAAAAGACCCGTCAAAATCGGTCCAACCGTTTCAGAGATTAGCCGGAACAAACAAACCGACAGACAAAAATTGTAAAAAACGTTATTTTGGTGTATGTACCGTATTTATATTCATATGCATGTAGTAAAAGACGGTTATTTCGATATTACAAACAGACACTCCAATTTTATTTACATGTATAGATGTATAGATTACTAGTTGTCCCGGCAAACGTTGTTTTGTAATATAAATTAATAACGCTATAAAAAAATAGGGGTTGGTGATGGAAGAGTGAAAATTTAGGGTTGCATGTATTTTTTAATGACACAATAAAAAAATATAAATAAAAAAAAATGCCAAAAAAATAACCTTATCACTTAGGGGTATGAAAAATCAATAGTAGCGGATTCTCAGACCTACTGAATATGCATATGAAATTTCATAAAAATCGGTCAAACCGTTTCGGAGGAGTATGGTAACTGACATTGTGACACGAGAATTTTATATATAAGATTATATTCGAAGGCAAGGCCGCTGGTCTCGCGGTTTTACTAACCGTTTTTCGCAGGTTCGATTCTTCGTACATGTTAGTCTGGGTGTTTTATATGAATATTATACCTTTTTCGGACACTTTTTAAAAGACATGGCTTTTAATCCTAACGCAAAAAGTGCGGCGTTTGTTAGTTTCTTCTTTTGTTTGTTTGTTGAGAGTAATAAGTCACTGAATTGACTCACCTAATCCACAATTTGCACTAATTATCACAGCGAACAAACAAATAATGTAACACAGCATTTTATATAACTAATTTGGTAAAATAACATACGTGTATGAAATATTTTGAGTGATTCTGTAGTTTTTTAGTAAGTGCGCGCGCGCCGTTTGTCCACTTGTTTATATGGCTCCGACTTATGACGTCAAATATTTATATTAACACTGCGCCTTTTTTATTGTATACTATCTGTTCCCCGCGACTTTGTCCGCGTGGAATTTAACTTTCATTTTCTAAAATGAAAGTAGCCTAAGTTACTCCTTATTACATCAGCTACCTGCCTATAAAAATATCGTCAAAATTGGTCCAGCGCTGAAATCTATTAGTCGGAAACAGACAGACAGACAGACAAAAATTGTAAAAAAATATTTGGTGTATGTACCGTATTTATATTCATATGCATGTAGTAAAACAGGGTTTTTTCAATATTACAAACAGACAATCCAAGTTTATTTATATGTATAGATATAAGTTTTCACGGGCCGTTAATTTAGTGATATTTAAATTAATTATTTATTATAATAACCTTGTGGTAATATGCCATGACTAATCAGATAATCTGCGATGGAAGATTTCTTTGTTCAACGACATCGAATATGAATTTAGTTCACAAAAAACTGCTCGTTACACATAGAACTTGTGCTAGTTCTTTTTTTAGTTTTGCCCAAATTTTTTGTTACGTAAATCTGTGATACAGGTATGGATGTTATTGATTCGAATAAAATCGGTAGGATATCCTGACCGGTCATGATCTTGGGGGAAGGTGATTGTTAGTAATGTGGATTGATAACCCCATTGCTAATGTACCATGTCAGGTCGACCTCCACGCGGTTCCCCCTAGAAACCATCGTGTTAAATTCCTGAATTTGTCACAATAGGCTAACTACCTGACCTCTTGTCATCCTCCACTGGTGCCCCGCTAGCGTAAACCGTTAGCGCAGGCGGGTGAAACATTCCATTATCATTCACAAAAAAAAAACCGGTTATGACTGACAAGTTTTTTTGGAAGAATATTTTGTCATCCAATTCAATATACAGATTCAATTGACAAGAACTGGCTAGAAACTCAACTGGATCTCTTTCTTTTAGAGACAGATTTTTTTGACACATTCAATTCGTTACCATCCAGTTCAGCATACAGATACAATTGACAAGAACTTGCAAGAAACACAACTGGATCTCTTTCTTTTAGAGACAGTTTTTTTTGACACATTCAATTCGTTACCATCCAGTTCAGCATACAGATACAATTGACAAGAACTTGCAAGAAACACAACTGGATCTCTTTCTTTTAGAGACTTTCAATTCCTTACCATCCAGTTCAGCATAGAGATTCAATTGACTGGATCTCTTTCTTTTAGAGACAGTTTTTTTTGACACATTCAATTCCTTACCATCCAGTTCAGCATACAGATACCTACAATTGACAAGAACTGGCTAGAAACTCAACTGGATCTCTTTTTTATAGAGATTGTGTTTTTTGACACATTCAATTCGTTACCATCCAGTTCAGCATACAGATACAATTGACAAGAACTTGCAAGAAACACAACTGGATCTCTTTCTTTTAGAGACAGTTTTTTTTGACACATTCAATTCCTTACCATCCAGTTCAGCCAATTGACAAGAACATAGAAACCAAGTTCAGACAGTTTTTTTTGACAGATACCTACAATTGACAAGAACTGGCTAGAAACTCAACTGGATCTCTTTTTTATAGAGATTGTGTTTTTTGACACATTCAAATATTTAGGCAGTTTAATCACCAGCGACTCCAGATTTAATGAAAAAAGATGCAATATTTATTATTACACAGGGTAAAAGAAAAATGGCAGATATTGAATACTAATTATATATGAATGAATGACTTATATAGGTGACTATGTGTAACATTAAATGAAAATCCCGTGCATGAACAACTATTGCATGTACGTTTGTAATTTATTGATATATTTATGAGAATTACACTATACTGAACGCATCGCTTGTAGAAGATTGTTTTTTATCCGTTTGTCTAGAATAGCAAACTGGACTGGATAAAAACATGATGGTAAGTGGTCGCCAGCATCACGAATGTAACAAAAAAACAATTGTCTGTGGTAATTGGTACGAGTGTCTTTCACGCCACGAGATGCCATTCTTGAGAACTAAGTTGTATAATAATAATAATCTCAGGACAATTCACACAGCGCCATCTAGACCCAAGTTAAGCTAGCTAAAGCTTGTGTTATGGGTACTAGATTACTGATAAAAATACATATATAATTTTTTTTCGTAACTACATACATATTATATATAGAAAATACCCAGACCGATACAAACAATCATACTCATGAATACAAATGTTTGTGCCGTGCGAGGAATCGAACCCGCGACCATCGGACGTAAAGCGGTGTACAAGACCGCTAGACCACCGAGGTCGTCAAAACTTGTAAATTCACTGCCTTTTGTCATCTGATATTTTTTAATTGAGGCTCAGGGAATAAAAGGTAAAGAAAAAGAAAGGAGAAGAAAGCTTGGCGACTGAAATAGGTAAGTCAGAGGTTTTTCTTCTGTTGGCAGACTTTACAGCTTCACCGGACGATAGGAGGCGAGTGCAGATGGCACTCCAAACCCGCGGAAGGACTTATGGAGCGGCTGAAGGACAACTCCCGACTGACGGATACGACTTTAGTCTGAGGGCTAGAACTAGGGATTTGGACCTCGGCTCAGACCCTCGTAATTTCGATACCCGTTTGAATTGGACTGGGGATCGATCAGAGGGGTAAATGGACATGCAAATATGGTCCGTCCATGCAGGTCTTTTACAGATACTCATGATACTAACTAGTAAGTCAAAATTACCTGACCTTACCTGAATTTAGAAAGAAAATGTTACAAGAAATTCTGCTCTCACACTTTTCAAATACAATTTTAAGGGCGATAATTATGTGTATTAAAACTTACGTTTAGGTCAATAATAATAATAATTTTATTTATTTCTTCCACAAACATTTTATGGCAACAAATACATGTAGTATTTTGGATAATACAGTGCATAAATTTACTGATACTATTGTTGTGAGAAGCTGGTGTCCGAAATAGGTCAGTCAGACCTTAGGCTACAGTATATTATCCTAAGTTATAAGAAGAAATGATATTTTATATTGTTATAAATACATTTCAGGACAGACCATTGAACTTGGCACCCATTTAGATCTCACCTCTTTTGTCGTAGAAGTCAACAATCAAGGCATATATCATAATATTAAACTCGGCTATCATTTCACATTTATGTTTTTGATGGGATAAAAGTTTTTCCTATTAGCTTCCATATCACGCAATTTTTAACCGGGCACGGATATCACAAACAATACCTTCACCGCTTCAAAATAATTAATAGTATCACTTGCCCGTACGACAACACTACTCCACAAACTATGTTCCACCTTGTTAAAGATTGCGACAGGTTTGCCACAACCAGACACGATCATGAAACCGCATGCCGAATGTTAAATATAAAAGACCCCCATAGCCTAGAAGACATTACAAGTAAGGAAATCACAACAAATACGTTTATAGCACATATACAATATCATCAGCGAATTAAAAAAAGAAAGGCCTCCAGCAAGGTGGACCGACGATCTGGTCAAGATCGCTGGAAGGCATTGGATGTGAGCAGCGCAGGACCGATCGTCGTGGAGATCTTTGGGGGAGGCCTATGTCCATCAGTGGACGTCTTCCGGGCTGAGATGATGATGATGATGATGAATTAAAAAAATTTAATCAGACATAAACCAACTTTGAGTGAGTGATGGTCGGTGGTTGGTAGTACTTTTATACTGACTAAGTATAGCGCTGCATGCCGTCGGCCCAGTAAAAATGTAACAAAATTATTGATTTGAGTTTCACTCCTAATACTAGCGAGCGTACACCGATAGCGCAACCGCTGTATTGAAAGGAGATCCAATATATAACCACATAAATAAAAAAAATAGGTTTAACCAGAATACAGAATGAAAGCTTCGGTTCTTTCTACTCTGGTCTGCTGTAATCACTACGATTGATCTCGTATTTAGTTGCTCAACCAGTTGGTTGTGTATTCAATACTTTGACTATATTGAATTAGTGCTAGTTGTAGTTTGTATTCACACGTTTCAACTTAAAAATGTAAGTTACAATGTTTATTTAAAAGAACAACACGCAAGTTTCTTGCTCGTTCTTCTTGTGATGAGACAGCTTTCCTAATGAGCGGTAGATTAAAAAATTTTTTAAAAAGTGTTTAAATTAAATTTATTTGAACAAAGGATTTTCTATTCTATTCTGTTTCCTTTTAACCGACTTCAAAAATAGAGGATTGGCAATTCTGCTGTATATTTTTAATGTTTGTTACTCCATAACTCAGTCATTTATGAAATTCTCAAATCGGCTGTATTGGATTTTCTATTCTCTTTCTTTCACCGACTTCGAAAATAGAGGAGGAGTTTCTTTATACGGCTGTATTTTATTTAATGTTGGTCACTCCATGACTTTTGGAAATACCATTTTTTATTTATATTTTTTTTAGTTACGAGTCACTTTTTTTTAGGAAATGATTTCGTAATTGCTTTAATATTTACTGTGTAATTAACCAAAACCGAAATAATGATCATAAACCAAAAGTATAATGAAGCAAGTCAACAAGCCGTGCAGATGTAGAAATCTTGATTTTAATTAGGCACCTATAATTGTGATTAATAATTGCGTAGGTAGGTGCTAATAATAGCAGCTTCCGTGGACCTGTTTGATCTGTTTCGTGACATTGGATGTTTATATTTGGACTTATTCACTTCCCGAATTTTATTTGTACGTGACTGTACCATGTATAATATGAACGGGATATAGCATATACAAGATTGTGGGACCAAGGGATTTCAAAATGAAAATTAGTTGCTTCATATTACTATTTAAAACTCTTCTTATAATTCTGGTCTGTTCAGGTTGCGAACACTGATTAGATTTTTTGTTTTTTTTTATATAGCATATGCTGGTGGTCACTCTATTCTCCCAAATTTGAATTTAAATAAAATAGTATTATTGTAAGTACAATATTAAAAAAAATATACGA